CGACGTCGCGTCGCCGCGCCGGCGCGCCGCGCGCCACTCCGCAGGCGGGATGCGCAACACCTCGCGCGCTGCTCGCCATTCTGGCGTCAGCCCCTGCGGCGCCGGCGCGACTCGAGGGCCGATCGGCCCAGCTCCAGCGACGGCTCCGCCATGCCCCCGCTCGAACTCCCTCGGCCTGTCCCCGCGGATTTGGTCGCCTGCTTCTCAGCTTCCGAGACGCGTCCTGAACCGCGCCTGCGTTCGGCAGTAGGGCTGGCTGAGCACCTACAGCCGCCTCTGCAGGTCGACCGCGCGACCCTCGGGGTGCAGGACTGACTCAGCGGCCTCAGGCGCTGGCGCCGCCTCCCCAAGCGCCGCCACCGCCTCGGGCGCCGTCACAGCACCAAGAATCTTCCGCTGCTGAGCGTCGCGCCGCACCGGCCCGCGCAGCGATCCACGCAGGGCCTGACACGTCAGGAAACTTTTCGGGCAGCAGCGAGCGCCCGCCACCGAGTCGATCGCCGCGAGGACCTTCTTGGGGCCCTGCAGCGCGCAGCACTGGCCGATCTGCGGGCTCGGGCCCCACAACACGCCATCGTCGGCGCCCGCCCTACCCGTCGCTCCGGGCGCGCCTTAGCCTAGATCCGCAATCAAGGCGGCCATCAGGCAGAAGCGTCATCACAGCACTGGCACTCGTCCTTGTCGCAGTCGCTTCCCATGCCGAACTCGATCCCCGAAACGCGCCCGCCCTTCCCGGCTGCCTGGCGCGCGTCTGTCTTGACCCCCCAAATCCTTCTGGATGCGCTCTCGATCAGCCGACCTGCCATGCCGCAGCCGCGGCACTTTCCCGCGAACTGGCCCGTATTGACTGGTCCTTTGGAATCAGACCTTTGCCATTACCTGACCGCCACCAACACTAAGCCTTGCCGTGTCCTGACTTGACGCACACCTCGCACTTGCATGTGCCTTCTCCTTTGCTTGAATCGCTCTCGCAGCCGCCTTTGGGGGTCCCGTTGATCCTAATCGGGCGCGGACCTCCTGAGCCCATTGTGATGATGCCTCTGGTCAACACGGTTTCCCATATGAGTTGCCCAGGAGTCACGTAGCTCAGCCGGACGTCTCTCGTCGAAGCGTGGAGCAAGTCCTTGACCAGGCCAGGGGCGTGCGCTAGCACGGTCGCAACTTTCATCTCGTCCGTCACGCGCTCTCCAGTGACAAGCTCGTAGTGCGCCGTCACAGGGTCCCAGGCCAGCAAAATATTTGCGAAGCTCTGGTGGGCACGATCCGGGTCACGTCACACGCCAGGGTCAGCAACATCGAAAGTATCTGGGCGCGATCCTCCCCCAAGCCCGTTCGGTTTCCCTTGTACAGACAACGCCCTGCCTCGAGACCGCCCCCTCTCGAGACCAACTTTGCAACTGAGCAAGCTGGACGTCTCACCGTCGGCGCGAGAAAAAGCAGACCAGGTCGCCATTTATCGCCTGAGCCTCCTCGCCCAGGCTCTCGCATGTGATGGGGTACACCTGAACCCTTGCTCGATTCACGATCTGGCCCAACCCTAGCAGGCGGGAGTAACTCACGAACAGGAAGGGCCATAGCTCGAACGTCACTCGATCTCCGCTGAACGTGTCCACCTTCGCTTCCGGACGAATGTCTCAAAGCTGTCGACCTTGACCTGCCGTCGTCTGGGCACTGATTGAAGTGTTTCTCACCTGCGGGGTTCTTCCGCCACGTCCACGTCACTCTGTCGATCGCCTGCTCACTGGACTCCTCGAACTGGTCGTCATCCGAGCCTGTCGTCGGCGGTCTCGCCGCCGTCCTGGCCACACCATGCAGGAATCTGGGGGCAGAACCCGCCCAATCAAAGGATTCGATTCTCTCGTAAAGACAGACGGGTGCGGAGCACACGTTAGACGCAAGTCTCCATGCAGGCCCCGAGGGGGCCCCCAACGGGTCCCAAAAATGCCGTCACGAGGCTGCCGAGAAGCCTCTCAATAGACCCCAAATAAGCCTCCGAAATAGGCCAGTTGTCCATGGCCGAGTCTGACCGAAGGCCACTACACACTTCGTACAGTATGGGCCGGCAGAATGAACGAAGCGATTGACTTCGGCGGATCCCCATGCGGGCCCTCGCCGCGTTGAACTTGGAGAGAAGATGATGAGACGGAAGATGATGGAGGCGTGTGGGATGGCATGCATACATGCATGCTGAAAGCGGCTTCGCGCATTCCGCAGTGAAGGGCTGCACCACGGTTCCTGGGGCAGGTAAAAAGATGTGCTATCCGCGCCCCTAGGGCTACGCGTTCTTCCTGTCTGATACTACCCTGGGCCGCGCAAAAATACTGGTGGGTTGCCCTGGCAAGGCCACGAAATCTCTTGTCTCAGACTCCCCTGGCACACCCAAGAGGCGGTCGGACCCCCCATGGAACCCCAACATGGCCCCAAGAGACATTGCAACGAATGGAACCAACCAACGTCGTCGAGGAACGCGCGAAGTAGTAGTTGGCGGAGCACGAAGCCGAACGGGCCAGCCATGCTTAACGGGCTTGCGTTCACGCGTCTTCATCTCTTAAGGACCTCGCCGTGCTGAACTCCCAGGGAAGATGATGAGGTGGAGGATGATTGAGGAGAGTGGGATTGCATGCACCAATGTATGCTAAGAACGGCTTCGTGCACTCAGCAGTAAAAGGCTGCATCACAGCTCCTGGGGCGCGTACAAAAAATGTGATTCCGCGCCCAGAGGGCTACGAATGTCTCTTTTCGGCACTCCCCTCGCGTTCTTCCTGCCTGGAATTACCCTGGGGCGCGCAAAAAGTACGGGCGAGCTGCCCTCGCAAGGCCACGAAATCTTCAGTTCTGCACACCACTCAGGCATGTCTTGTCTCACACTCCCCTGGCACACCCAAGAGGCTGCCGGAACCCCCGGGGAACGCCAACATGGCCCCAAGAAACATTGCAACGAATGGAACCGACCAACGACTTCGAGGCAGTAGCCCCAACACCCAAATGCTTGCAAAATCTGCGTGCAAGCTTTCCCCTGGGGGCACGCAATGATTCCCGCTCTGCGGGCTCAATAGACTGGCAGCGGCCCATTGCTTCCGTGTTTGAGTGTAGCACGTCTTCCTATGATGCGAAATGGTAAGAACAAAATGTGTGAACTGGTACCATCGCGTGGAACGCACGAAGTAGTAGTTGGCGGAGCACGAAGCCGAACGGGCCAGCCATGCTTAGTGGGCTTGCGCTCACGCGTCTTCGTCTCTTGAGGACCTCGCCGTGCTGAACGCCAAGGGAAGATGGTGAGGTGGAGGATTGAGGAGAGCGAGATTGCATGCAGAAATGTATGCTCAGAACGGCTTAGCACATTCAGCAGTAATTATCCCGGCAAAGCAACCTAACAGCGATGTGTAGAAGCATATCTGAAAGCATTCCCCTTAAGATTCAGATGAAAATCCAGTTGTCGAATTCTGCTGTTCTCGCAGTCGTAGTCGCATTCGCGATGACAGTCGCAGCGGCAACGGCAGTCGCAGTCACAGCCTCAGCTCAGCCTGCCTCAGCCTCAGCCTCAGCCTGCCTCAGCCTCAGCCTGCCTCAGCCTCAGCCTCAGCCTGCTTCAGCCTCAGCCTCAGTCTGCCTTCAGCCTCGGCCTCAGCCTCAGCCTGCCTCAGCCTCAGCCTGCAGCCTCAGCCTCAGCCTCAGCCTGCCTCAGCATCAGCCTGCTTCAGCCTCAGCCTCAGCCTGCCTCAGCCTCAGCCTCAGTCTGCTTCAGCCTCAGCCTCAGTCTGCCTTCAGCCTCGGCCTCAGCCTCAGCCTGCCTCAGCCTCAGCCTGCCTCGGCCGCAGCATCAGCCTGCCTCAGCATTCAAAATGTGGCCCAGGAATGGAGTTCTGGGAACTAGAAGAACACGAAGTGGCCTACAGTTGGCTCCGGGCATTCAAAATCATGCCCAGGAATGGAGTTCTGGGAACTTGAAGAGCACGAAGTGGCCTACAGTTGGCTCCGGGCATCCAAAATGTGGCCCGGGAATGGAGTTCTGGGAAATCGAAGAGCACGAAGTGGCCTACAGTTGGCTCCGGGCATCCAAAATGTGGCCCGGGAATGGAGTTCTGGGAAGTCGAAGAGCACGAAGTGGCCTACAGTTGGCTCCGGGCATCCAAAATGTGGCCCGGGAATGGAGTTCTGGGAGCACCAAGAGCGATTTTGCGAAGATGTCCCAAGCGATTTCGGCTTCGGCGGCAGCCGCGGCGGCAGCCTGTCCGGGTCCCGCCCCGACCCCCCTGTGGAGTCATCTGCTGCTCTCTTTTGAGACCACTAGAAACCTATCAGCAAAAGCTGTTAGGTAAAAAGCTGCAGCACAGCTCCTGGGGCACGTAAATGTGTGTTCCGCGCCCAGGGAGCTACGAAAGCCTCGGCTAGGCGCACCCCTCACGCATATCCTGTCTGACATGACCCTGGGGCGCGCAACGATACGGGTGGGTTGCCATCGCAGGGCCACGAAATCTTCAGTTCTGCACACCACTCACGCATTTCTTGTCTCAGACTCCCCTGGCACACCCAAGAGGGTGTCCGAACCCCCAGGGAACGCCCATATGACCCCCAAGAAACATTGCAACGAATGGTACCGACCAACGTCGAGGCAGTATCCCCAACAGCCAATGCTTGCAAAATCTGCGTGCAAGTTTCCACCATGGGGGCCCACCGTGCCTCCCCCATTTCGAGTTCAAAAACTGGCAGTGCCCCATTGCGTCCGTGGTTTAACGTAACACGGCTCCGTGTGATGCGGAATGGTGAGAACGAATTGGACCAACTGGCACCAGCAGCGCGTGGAATACACGAAGTAGCCGCTGGCGGAGCGCAAAGCCGAACGGGCCAGCGATGCTTCACGGGCGTGCGGTCACGCGTCCCCACATCTTGAGGACCCCGATCGCTAAAAAAACACAGGGTTTGGGGTAGCGCGGTCCACCGTGCTTGTAAGCAGCACTCTCGCCGAAAGCACGGCGACGATCCGCGGCTAGGGCCCCAACGTCAGCACGCTGCACAAGTCCTTGCACATGGAGTGGAATTCCCTCGCGGGGTCCACTTCTCCAGGGGGGGGGGCGCCGTGGGGACTCCACCGCTGCCGCAGCCCTCCCTGTTTTGCAGCGACCCCCTCCTCCTCGCCGTTCCACCTCCTGTGTCTGGCGGTGCGCACCAGGGGGTGGAGGGAGGGGGGAGGGGTCCTTAGAAGGAGGCTGCTTCTTGGAAGGTTCCAGCCTTACATCTATAGATGAGGCCCGCGCCTTCTGAGAAGCAGGGGTGCTTCTAAGAAGCCCTCCCCCCTCCCCCACCGCCCTCTGCGCGTGGCCGATATGTGTCCTTACCCCTTGCGCTTGAGACATTTCCAGTCGCCGTGCCTCCAGCGACGACGTGGCATTCCCTGGAGCCCATGCTATGCATCGGGTGTTGCCTGTATGTTGGCCAGCGTGGGCACCAAGCTATGGACGATTGCACTCCACGTGCAATATGTGTGGTGGCATGCACGTATCGTGCAACCTGTGTGGCCTATATATATATATATGTATATATGTGTGTGTGGTGCAGATAACTTCAGGAATACTGAGATCGACAATTCCAACGCTCGGGCAAACATCCCCCCGCCCGCTCGCAACTTGTTTGAATACCCAAGTGTGCGCAATGAATCGAGGACCCTCATCATGCAGCTCCATGAGTCGGGCGGGCGAGTGATGATGATGAATCCCACCAGCCCGCTGGGCGTGGGTGGTTTAGAGCATTTCCTCTTCCATCGTCCCTCTTACCCTTCGGGAAGGGGTGAATGTCATTGTTCCTTATTGATATACACCCCCCTCCCCCAGGCGACCCGGGGCCAACCCGACACCATGCCGACACCCTGCCGACACCATGCCGACCCGCCCCCCACCATCCCTGTCAAAAAACAATACAGACCGCAGTCTGCCTCCACATTTGGAGCATGCGCGGCCAACCCGATGCGCCCCCCCCCCACCATCCCTGTCAACAAAACAACGCAATGTACACTTTGGGACAAAGTCTTGAGTCATGTTCGTGAGGCCCGCGAGCACTTTGTATTGTTTTTGACAAGGACGGCGAGGGTGTTAGCATATTCCCTGCTGCGCGCAGGGCAGACATCCCTGACAAAAAAACGCTACAACATGCACCTCGCGGCTAAATCTGGATCATGCGCGGCCATCCCGCGATCACTGTCAAGTGGTCTTTGCCAGGGACGGCGGGGGTGGTGGCGCGTGGCCTGCTGTGCGCAGGCCCACCAGACACAATGATGGGCATCGGTTTTCGACAAGGATGGCGGGGACCGACATGTTTCCCGATGTGTGCTGTCACGTGCGCAGGCGCACCTGACGCACTCTGCACGTGCCCCGAACGCAGCGCACCTGGCGCGGCTGAGTGTGCGGCACATCTGGCGCTCTCGGAGCACGTGGCACATCTGGCGCACCAGGCGTGCCTGGCACGCTCGGGACCCAGGGGTGCCTGGCGCACGTGGCGCCCCTGGCACGCGTGGCGCACCTCGCCCGAGCGTCGCGCACCTGGAGTCGGCGTTGGTTCCCGGTAGCTGTCCATCCAAAGACGACCGCTGAACATGCTCAGGCTCGGTGTTACTTATTTGTAGGGAGGGCGGGTGGGAGTGAGCTAGACGGCTTGCGGGCGGGCGGGTAGAGTGACCCCTCCCCTTACACTCTCCCCCTGGACCTGGACGGCAGGGTTCGCGACCCATTGGAGCGTCCAACACGGCCTCGTCGAGGAGGCGGCAAACATCACTGATGTGACTTCGGTTTGGGGCTCATTTTGGCCTCATGGGGGGAAGTGCAATTTGCCCCCCCGCCCCCTCTTTGATCGATCTCCTCCTACATGGCCCCAAGATGGCCCCCAAGGCGCCAAGGAGTGCCCCAGAAGGCCCCAAGCGAGGCGCCCGGGAGGCCACACGAGGACCCCAAGAGGCTCCGAGGAGGCCCCCCGCGGCCCCCTCCTTCGACGACAGGCTCATCAGTTCCACTCATGGGTGTGCCCAGACTGATTCCGAGCCTGGGCTCGACGGCTGCTTCGCCTACCCGATCCACTGGATGCTCCGGCACATCCCTTATTGGGGCAACTCCCCTGGCAACTCCTCCTCCTCCTCCTCCTCCTCCTCCTCCTCCTCCTCCTCTTCCTCCTCCTCCTCCTCCTCCTCCTCCTCCTCCTCCTCCTCCTCCTCCCTCCTCATCCTCATCCTCATCCTCATCCTCATCATCATCATCATCATCATCATCATCATCATCATCATCATCATCATCATCAGCATCAGCATCATCATCATCATCATCATCATCATCAGCAGCAGCAGCATCATCATCATCCTTCTATCTGGGATGGTAGATGGTGGGGATGCGCGAATCATCACGAACTGAGCACAGGGCAGGTCCACGACGTGGCTCGGCGACTGGCCATATCCCCCAACGACTTGGGGACTTCGGGCACGGCTTCACGCGCACATCTCGCTTCCACATCCCCTGAACTCCAATTACAAATGCTTCCACCACGCTTCCACATCTCGCTTCCACATGTGCACAGACGTGTAACGCTAGCGCCCAGTCTCATGATTGAGGGCCCTGCTGCTAACGACCTCCCCGCTGCTGTTGCTAGATGCGTGCCCGAAGAGCTGCCGCAGCCTGTAGGAGTACTCCACAGCGGTGCCGTCCTCCAAGCAGTCCACAAGAGCCCTGGCAGGGCGCCAGGGATCAACTTCCAGCTTTCAATGCCGCTAACTCCCCCTCCTCCCCATCCTCCCTCTCTTGCCTCATCCCTCACGTCATCCTTTTCATCCGTCGCCTGTCCTGATCTCCTGCTATTCTCTCTCCCGCTCCTCCTTCGCAGTTCCCCTCTCCCTCCCGCTACCATCCCCGCGTCCTTATCATCCTCCTCTGCCTCGTTCTCCTGCATATCTCCCCCACCCCGCCTCCTCATGCTGAATCCCTCTTCCTCACAGATGGCCACAGGCCGACAGGAAGAGGGGAACTAAGAAGAGGCAAGCCAAGGGAAGCGAAGCGAGCGCTGGAGTCGTGCGCGCTCCCTTGGGAAGCCCGCTCGTGGAGGCCGTGGCCGCAAAAACATGATATGCAGGCGGACTCACGTTGTAATCAGTATCTGGTGTTCCCAGCAGCTGATAGCCGTCGCAAGAAGTTCGAGCTGCTGTGCTTGTGTTGGCCTGGATCGGTCCTGGTTCGCGACGGAGGAGTCAGACGAAGCCAGGACGAGGAGAATTTCGGGTGAGGATAAATCGAGAATCTCCGAGATATCTGGCAGCTCAGGAGGGTGTCTCGGGCGCCGCCGCCTTTTCAGAGCGATCCGGAACGCTCCGAGAGCATTCTGGAACGTTCTGGAACGGGCGCATCCTCGTCCTCGCCCCGCCCGAAGGAGGCCCGAAGTGACGAGGCTGCTCGGCAGGCAAACGCCCCACATCGCGAGGGCAGGGCTGGGGTCATCTCACGCGGCGCCGGGCGAAGAGGCGCGGCCCGAGCCTGCAAGAGGAGGCGGAGGACCTGCCATCGCTGGGGCGTCCCTTCCCCGTCTACGTTTCGGCTTCGTTCGTCTTCTTCTCGCAAGTTGATCAGAGACGCTCCTCCACGGTGCTCGCCGAGGAAAACTGCACACGTGCACGGGGATTTGCTCGAGAACGGGGATTTGCTCGATCCTGGGATTATTTCCCCCGACATCTGTCTCTGGGGCCGTTCCTGGGCTCCGTTACAGTCAAACCTAGATCCAGGACGAATCACTATCCCTGGGGAGGGTTGATGCCTCTGGAGCACGCGGATTGAACCAAAACAGTCTCCTTGAAGTATGGGGACGGGGACGGGGAGAAGGACGGGGACAAGGACGAGGACGGTGGCAAATGAAGATCACGCAAATAACAACATGGCAGCATGAGAAACCACACATTGAGGCCGTCCATTGACTGGGGTTACCCGGCCGTAGAGAAGGCGCCGCAGCGAGCAATGAAGCGGTGAAGATGACCGGGGCGACTACCAGTACATACACGAAATGACAAAGAATGGTAAAATCGATGACAAGGATGGAGAGAAGGATAGTGACAGGGCGTTGGATATGTCGCTTCTGCGGCACCAGGAATCCTTCTGCCCAAAACCTGAAACAGGACCGTGCTATCTTCAACGATATCTGGGAGCTGCTAGCTCCATATTTGAAGCATTCAGTTCGTTCGCCTCCACGTTCCACTTCTCCCACCTCCTATCCCGTGTCTTCGGCTGCTGCGATCAGTCACAGGGCTCTAGCAGGGATGATTCACCTTCCAGACGAGGTGCGTGCGCGCCTTGTCCTCCCCGACAGAGAAACCATACCCACAACGTCTGCACTCAATATCAGATCTCATCGTAGCACCCCGCAATTGCGGATAAGAGTGAGGGGACGGGCGCGGGCGACGCGGGCGCGGGAGTGGAAGGAATTCAAAAACAGCCCGCCGCAGGCGCCGAACATTTTGATTTGTACACTGAACGCGGTTTGGGTCGCAGGTTCTCCACCTGGAACGAATGCAAAAGAAACCCGCCGCAGGCGCCGAAGTTTTGGCTTGTTCAGTGAACGTAGTTTGGGTCGCGGGTAGGTCGCGAGCTCTCCACCTCCACCTGGAAGGAATTCAAAAACAGCCCACCGCAGGCGCCGAAAATTTTGATTCGTACACTGAACGCGGTTTGGGTCGCGGGTGGGTCGCAGGTTCTTCACCTGAAGAAGCCCGCCGCAAGCGCCGAAAATTTTGGGTGGGTCGCAGGGTGGGTCGCGGGTGGGTCGCGGTGGGTCGCGGTGGGTCGCGGGCGCGGCTTGGGTCGCGGGTGGGTCGCAGGTTCTCCACCTGGAACGAATGCAAAAGGAACCCGCCGCAGGTGCCGAACATTTTGGGTGGTGCGCGGGGTGGGTCGCGGGTGGGTCGCAAGTGGGTCGCGGTGGGTCGCGGGTGGGTCGCCGGTGGGTCGCGGGTGGGTCGCCGGTGGGTCGCGGGTGGGTCGCCGGGGGGGTCTCGTGGTGGTGCGCGGGGTGGGTCGCGGGGTGGGTCGCGGGTGGGTCGCGGGTGGGTCGCGGGTGGGTCGCGGGGTGGGTCGCGGGGCGGGTCGCGGGGCGGGTCGCGGGTGGGACGACGACAACAACAAACAACAAACAACAACAAACAACAAACAACAAACAACAAACAACAAACAACAAACACAACAACAGCAACAACAACAACCAACAACAACGACAACTACAACAACAACAACAACAACAGCAGCAGCAACAACAAGAATCCGCATCGCCGAATTCCACTTCAGCCACGCACCCAGGGACAGCGAACGACCGTTCGGTTCAGCCCGCTCACTCTGACTAAACGTGATGACATCAACTGCTGCTGACAGAATTCGTGGGCTGGACATACGTTACCTTCTGGCTTCAGCACCAAGAAGAAGAAGTTTGGGCAAGTGCGAAACAAGGAAGACAAACGAAAGTAGAAAGTGACGGAGGCACAGAAGAATGAGATGGAGGGCGGGAAGAGGATGGTAAACGTTAAGGCGGAGGACAACGACGATGATCTAACAATCGACGAAGACGTCGAAAGAGTATTGTGACAAAAAAAGCTCCTGTCGTCGGGCCTCTGCTTGGTTTGCTGGGAGCCGCTCACCTTAACTGGCTGAAAGCTCAGGCGCGGCCCATGGCAGGCGCCCAGGCCACACAGGTCATCCTCGTCGGTCTCAGCCACCGTTCCGCGCATCGCCACTCATCGCCATGCTCCTATTCCGCCACCTCCTGCTGCAGCGTCCATGCTCCCTTCGACTGCTATTGATGCTCCTGCTCCTGATCCTCCTCCTCATCATCATCAGCAGCAGCATCAGCAGCAGCACCACCATCTTCATTCCTTCGCCTCACGTTGCACACTGCCAAAGCCGCCGCTGAAGCAGAAAGGGATTCCTCGGCGAACAAGACGTGTATCTGCCCAGGCTTGAACTTACTGTAGTCCGTCTTATCGCTCCACTCGGACATCTCAGCGTACTGGGAGAACGAAAGGCGCAGGCGGGGGAGCAAGGATGGGAAGGAGGACCTGGAGGAGTATCGCCCCATCCCCCCACCCCCACCCCCCGCTTCGCCTCACCTCGCCCTCGCCCTCCTCCTCGCCTTCCCCTGCCCTCATCACCATCTACACGATCTCCGACCCACCCACTCGAACCTCACCCCCTGTCCTCCTGTCCTCCCTTCCTCCCCCCTCCCCGCCTCCCCCACCGCCCCACAAATCCGTCTCCCCCTTCGCTCACCCCCTCCCTCCCGTCGCCTCGCCTCGCGCTTGCCTTCGGTCTCCCCTTCCCCTTCCCGCTGGCAGCCCCTCCAACTCACAAACCCTCGCCGAGCAGTCCTGCTTCTGGCTCATGGCTGGTATCTCCGGCAGCGGCATTGCCAGGCAGTCCTGCTTCTGGCTCATGGCGGAGAACAGCACAGCGAGCTGGGGGGAGGAGAGAAAGGAGGGGAGGGAATGGGAAGGAGGGAGGGGGGAAGACGGGGGGGGGGGCGCGCGGGGGAAGCGGAAGGAGGGGATATAGGGGGAGGAACTGGAAGGCCATGCCAACATGAAAGCACAGGACAAGGGTGCGGAGGAGCGACTCGCCGAGCCCCGGGAGACGACGGGAGGAGCGGGCAGGGAGGAGCCCGAAAGCGCGCGGTTGCAGGAACAAGGGCGGCCTACGTAGGCCGCCTACAATAATGGGGGCCGATCCACGAGAAACCTTCCGCAAGAAACCCAACCCTGAGACCCCAGGACGTCCATCGATGCTTGGTGTGGGAACGTCATGCTTCCCATGGCGAAGCCATCGAAACCCAAGAAACCCAGAGCACTCTGGAGGCAAGCAGGGTGTTTCTTGGCATGGGCCCCCCTGTAATTCAGGCCAGGGCGCACCTGGGCCACCAGAGCTTCGCGCATCGCAGCCCGCGGCGCGCCGGAGGCGCAGGCCTCTCCGCGCCTTCGCGCCTCCCACTCTGGCAGGAGACGGGCTGAGCGGCACCGGCCGCGACGAGCGAAAGACGAGGCTCTCTCTTCGTGCCCCGTGGGGTGGCCTGGGTGCAGAAAGCTGGACCCGAGGACAGAATCCGGGGCGCGCAAACATGGATTAGCGATCCATGGATTTGGCGCGCGGCCGTCAAATCCATGGATGGGGGGAGGTGCCCTCGCCAAAATGCGGCCGGTGCCGCCTCGTCCAGCGGCGGAAATCCGCGATTTCCCATGGAAACGGGACCCGTCGCTAATCCACGCCCCCGTTGATCCATGTTTGCGATCGCCTGACAGAAGAGCATCCTGCAAGAGCATGAGACCATCCGCCAGGCAAGCTGAAGAACATTCGAGGGCACCCTCCCCCAGGATGCAGAAGAACAACCAACCAACAAGCGCGAAGAACATCAGGGTACCATCCCCGAGCCGACCTCGATCTTGTACCTCGGCACGACCGTAGTGGTGCAAGTGCTGGTTACTGCAAGCGGGCAAGCAAGCGCAGATATCCGCCAGCGTGCACCCCCCTCCCTCGCTCGCGCGCCTCTCGAAAACCGCCACTTTCTGAAATTGCTTTCTGGCGGTATGTTCGGCCTCCAGACGGCCAAGATGATCTCCAAGACGACTTCCAAGACAGCCAAGACGACAATAAAACTGCTCAAAATGGCCCAAGGTAGCTCGAGGGCCTTTCAAGAGAGCCTCAAGACGGCCCAAGATAACCCAAGAGGGCCTCAAGACGGCCCAAGAGGCCCCCAAGACAGCCCGAGAGAGCTCCACCAGGCCTTCCTGGAGAGCCCGAGGGGCCCCAGACCATTGACTTTCCTCAAGTGCTTGATGAAGTTCCCTTCCGAGGCCCCCCTTGTGCCTTTTCTGGGATATCAAGCAAAACTGGCGACGAATTCCGAACCAGCGCCCTAGCGTGGAACATCCTCGGAAAACCACCCCCCCGAGTCTCGACCCTCAGAAAACTTGCCCCCCGCGGCCCTCAGACGAGGGCTCTCTCGAGACATCCTCCCAAAGTCGACACCCGGCACGCGAGAAAGTCAGGCTTCACAGCGCCCCCACGGACCCTCTCTGGGGATCTGCCAACGCGCGCCGGGGCGCTCCAGGAATGGCCCAGCCTGGAGCTCTCGCTCGAGACGTCCTCGCAAAAGTCGACCCGGGCGTGTCCCGATCTGGGGCTCAGGCTCGAGGCACCCTCGCAAAGTCACCAAATCGCCTCCCGAGGGAGGCCTCCGATGATGAGGATGAGCAGGGAGGAAGACCTAGGAAGCGGAGGAGCGGAGGAGGAGGGAGGAGGGCAGGAGGAGAAGGAGGAGGACGAGGGAGGAGGAGGAGGAGGAGGAGGAGGAAGAGAGGAGGAGGAGGAGGAGGAGGAGGAGGAGAGGAGGAGGAGGAGGAGGAGGAGGAGGGAGGAGAAAGAGGAGAGGAGGAGGAGGAGGAGGAGGAGGAGGAGAGGAGGAAGGAGGAGAAGGAGGAGGAGAAGGAGGAAGGGGAGGGAGAGGAGAGGAGGAGACGGGGAGGAGATGGAGGAGGAGGGAGGAGGAGGAGGAGGAGGAGGAGGAGGAGGAGGAGGAGGAGGAGGAGGAGGAGGGAGGAGGAGGAGGAGGAGGAGGAGGAGGAGGGGGGGGGGAGTTGTTTGACATCCACCGCCAACGGCCCCGTCTAGATGGGGCAGATAGTCTCGAGCTCGGCTGAGAGTCCTCCTCTCGTGGTCAGGGTGGAGTCCCTAGCTCAATCTCGACCACACTTCGCTGCGCTTCGGAGATCGCTCCAGGCGTTGGCTCGCAAGACCTCGGCTCTGACCTCGGAAAGTAAAAAGCGTGACAGCGCCGGCAGGCACAGGCGAAACTGCCGTCAGGAAAGCCTACCGCCATTGCAGCGGTGCCCTCGCTCTGGCGGTGCCGACGGCTCGACCGTCAGCTCTCGAGAGCACGTCCCTGCTGGCGGCTTGACGGTGCTGCGAGATCCCCGCATGAGCATCGTTTATCCCCGCATGAGCGTCGTGCTTGCTGGGTGCACAAGAGCATCCAGCAAGCCAGAGGAACATCAGGGTACCCTCCCCGAACCGACCTCGATCTGATACCTCGGTCCCACCGTACCAAGACCGGGGAGGCGCGGAAGGTGGCCCCGCTGGTGGAGCTGAGCGGCCAAGGCAGAGTATCGTTTAACCGATCCCCATCCCCAGCGGCGTGGCCTGGGCCCCACTGGCCGATTTACCCCCCTAGATGAGGATATAGGCCGTTCCCTTCGGGTTTCGAGGGGTGTATCCCCAACTGGGGTGGCAATGTGGTGGGGGTCTCGAAAGAGATGAGGATGGGGATGGGGGTCTTCTAGACGATACTGACCGCAGGCACCGGGGGCACTGCCAAAACCTTCCCACCCCGAATCGCTCATGGACGGGGCCCGCGGACCTTGGGGGACGGGCCGAACCAGGAGCACGCTCGACCCCACCGAGGTGGGTCCGCGGCCAAAACACACGAAACTGTTGCGGCTAATTGTGTGACCGCAGGAAGAGGGGGAGGGGGGGGGCGGGGAGGGGAGGAGGGGGAGGAGGAGGAGGAGGAGGAGGAGGAGGAGGAGGAGGAGGAGGAGGAGGAGGACCAGTGTTAAACCCAAGAGTCATCAACGATGTTGGAATAAACCCTCCCTCCAAGCTCCCTCTCATAGGCCCCTACAACGGTTCCTTTCCACTGAGGGAACTGCCTCGTTGGAAAACAACCGTTTGAAGACCCTGAAGCATACCAAATCATTGTTCTCGGAATTCCAACGCCACGGATCAACCTGACTGTTGCGTCTTGAATATCCTGAACCGTCCCAGAACACCATTCCTGGGACTTCAGTACCGCGAGTTAGCGTAACTGCTGCACCCCCAGAATCCTGAATACTTCCAAAACACAATTTCTGACACGTCGTTCATGAGAACACGTGAAACTCTTGCAAATGTTTAAACCGAATGTGCGCGGCGCTAAAGGCGAGAGACACAGTTTGAAAACGGCCCGCCCTACATCCGTGAAAATCTTGCAAATGTTGAAAACGAATGTGCGCGGTGCTAGGGCCAGAGCCACGCGCTAAGGCGGAAACCACATTTTGAAAACGACCCGCTCTCCATCCGTGAAACTCTTGCAACTTGTTAAAACGAATGTGCGCGGCGCTAAGGCGAAAGCCAAAGTTTGAAAACCATCCGCCCTGAATCCACCAATTCAAATGTTTCAAACGAATGTGCGCGGCCTTACGGCGAGAGCCACATTTTGAAGACCATCCGCCCTGAATCCGGCAATGCAAATGTTTCAAACGAATGTGCGCAGCGCTAAGGCGAGAGCCGCATTTTGAAAACCACCCGCCCTCCATGTGTGAAGCTGTTGTTAATGTCTTAGATTCAGGGTCATAAATGGTGAGGACGTCTCAGGCGAAACGCCTGGCCCGCCCTAAAAAAGCTGGCCTCGAGGTGCGACAGGGAGAAGTTATTATGAAGAACAGGAATGGAGGAGAGGGGGAGGAGGCGGAGGAGGACGCGGAGGAGGAACGACCTCCAGGAACCGCAGCAGATGTCCTTGGAGGATGTGGCGGAGGCGGAGGAGATTGCCAGCATGGGAGCGGGAGGGGCTGGATGCCTGAACGTTCAGGGCCAATCGAACATGCGAGCTCTAGAGATTTCCGGGGAGGGTGTGGAGGAGGTGGAGGTTGTGAGCATGGGAGCGGGAGGATCTGGAGGTCTGAACGATGCCTCCTAAGTAAATGGATGGTCACTGTTTGGGGCCCAAGTTTGCAAGCGTTCTCCTAGATGGACCAGGAGAACGAGACAGGCTAACATCCACGGACCTCCAGGGACCCAGGGATCAAGGCTCGAAGGTACGATCGAGGGGGAAAGTGGAGGATGCGAGCATGGGAACATAGAGGATGCGAGCAACGGAGCGGCAGGGGCAGGATACGTGAACGGTCAGGTCTCGCACAGTGCAGTTTAGATTTCGCAGTTCCATACGCCCCGCACCCCTATTGACTCTCATTCTCCTCTCGCCCTCAAGCACACGCCCCTTCTTCTATATACAGAATCTCCCAAACAACCGCAGAGCGGCCAGCTAGTATATAGAGAAGAGGAAAGGCAAAGAGGGAAGAGAGGAGGAGAGAGGAGGGACGAGAGACAGAGAGAGAGAGATACACAGATAAAGCGGGAAGCCAAAATCACAATAACAGTTCCTGGTCCTTGAGATTCCGCGCGCTCTCCACGCTGAAAAAATCCTCCCAGAACAGCAGCTGCAATGTCATCTCCTTGCGGCGAGAACTGCAGACACAAGCGCGCAGCCGCATGTTCAACCTCCCTCCATCCCCTCTAGTCGCCCCTCCTCTACCGCCAATCCCCTCTCCATCTCACTCCTCTCATCCTCTACCCTCCCACCTACACTAGTTTCAGCTCCATTCCCATGCTCACAGCACGTTTACCCCCTTCCCCGCCACTCCCCTCTCCTTCGAAGTCCATCCTCCTTCCCTGTTCCCCAAACCCTCCTGTGTTGGGTTCCCGTTTTGGATAAAGGAGTGGAACACTGTTGCCTCCCCTCCTTACTCCCTCCTCCTCATCCTCCTCCTCCTCCTTCTGCTCCTCCTGCTCCTCCTGCTGCTCCTCATCCTCCTCCTCCTCCTCCTCCTCCTTCTCCCTCCCCCTGCATCCTGCATCATACCTGCCTCCTGCCCGCTTCTTACCTACAGTATATCCACCTGCCCTCTACCTCGCCTCCCTGTACGCTGACAATTGCGCAAATGTCGCCACTGTCGGGAGCTCGTGAGAGGTCCAGCGGAGTGACGCCCTGAAGGGATCCAAGCTGGACCTCGTCGCCCTGGGAGCTGCTAACTGCGCCACTGTCGCCACTTTCGGGAGCTCCTCGGAGGTCCAGCGGAGTGACGTCCTGAAGAATCCAAACTAGACCCCGTCTCCGCGGGGGCTGCCAACTGCGCAACTGCCGCCGCTTGTATAAGCTCCTGGGAGGTCCAGCGGAGGGGCGCCCTAAAGGGATTCAAACCAGGCCTCGACTCCCTGGGGGCTGCAAACTGCGCAGTTGTCGCCACTTTCGTGAGCCCCTGGGGGGTCCAGCGTAGTGGCGTCCTACACAGATCCAATTGAGACATCGCCATCTTTAGGAGCTGCCAACTGCGCACACGTCGCCAAGTTCGTGACCCTCCGGGAGGTCCAACCGAGCAGTGCCCCTGGCTGGCTCACCAGATGGTGCTGTCAAGCACCTCGGATGGGCTGGGCATGTACCTGGGTAATTCCCCAGCCCTCATTTGGCTGGGTCCTGGCTTCGACTCAAGCACAGGTTCCTCTTCCTCCTCCTCAACGTCCTCCTCCTCCTCCTCCTCCTCCTCCTCCTCCTCCTCCTCCTCCTCCACGTCCTCCTCCTCATCATCATCATCCTCCTCCTCCTCCCGCCGCCTCACCTCTGTCTCGCCGCTTCCCGGCTTCCACTTCGCTTCCTCTTCGCTTCCTCCTCGCTTCCCCTACATGGGCGCGTTCTGCTGCGCAGGCTGGCTCGCCAAATGGTGTTGTCAAGCATCCCGGATGGGCTGGGCATGTACCGGGCGAGCCCCCAACCCTCATTTGGTCGGGTCCAGGCTTCGACTGAAACAAATGTGCTTTATCCTCCTGCTTCTCCTCCTCTTCCTCCTCCCACCTCCCCTCTGTCTCGCCGCCTCCCCGCGTCCACTTCGTTTCCTCTTCTCGACGGCGAGCCCGGGGGGAAGTGAGAGGGAGCTCAGAAGCCCCCCGACCTGATAAAAACCGTCTATGTCTTCGAAGAAGGCTTAGAATACGTCTCGGAAGTCGCAAGGGCTTCTGAGAAGCCCCGCGTCCTTCTGAGAGTACTGCCCCCTCTCACTCCCCCGCTGGGCTCGCTGCCGATCTTCGCTTCTTCCTCGCTTCCCACTCCTGGGAGTTTCCAACTGCGCAACTGCCGTCACCTTCGTGCGCTCCAACTGCGCAACTGTGGCCACTTTAGCCGTTTTGGCCCAAGATCAAGGGATCAAGGGGTTCACACCCGTGTCCGGGCGTTGTCTATATACTTTCGTCTTCTCTTACACCTCCCCTGTGGGCTGCGATGTCTTCTTCGGGTGCTCGCGTGACAGGTACCCCTGTGAAACAGCTGTTCAAGGCGGAGAGACACAACATCGCTTCACCGACCTCTTCACCAGCACCACCTGCATCAAAAACTGCTCGTGTCAGCAGCCCATTGAGAGAGATGGACGGTGTGGACGTGGGAGCCAGATGCCCAAGTACAAACACGGCAAGTTCAATTCCAAAGTAGCCTCATTGCTGCGTCAGAGCTCGCACAACAAGGACAGCGAGGACAGCATCTACCTCAGCCGCCTACCCTGGACCAGATCGCGAACGTGATCCGCCAGGAGGTGCAGCCTATCGGCGCAACTCCATCAACAGCCTCGAACGTCGCCTCAACGAGATCAGCGGGACCATCGACGCAAGGATCGAGGAGGTGGAGGGGAACGTTGAGGACATCGCCCTCCGCCTAACCAACCTTGAGAATCAATCCACCGAGCGGTCCGACGCCACGGCCACCCCCCGGAGCGACGACACGGCCATCTGGGACCAAATCAAAACGCTGGAGGCCCAGGTAGCGGAGCTGAAGTTGACAGGCAAGCTACAACATGAAAAATCATCAAACCTTTCAGGGGAGGCGAAGCGGGATATCACAGCAATAATCGGGAAATTGGTTGGTTTCGATTATTTCTCAGAAGCTCAAGGATACACTTTCTTCGATGTTGGCACCTTCGGCAATTGACACATCCTCAAAAGGCGACTTCGGGGACATCCTCTACGTGGTATTCGCCAGCGAAGCCGATCGAAACCTGGCGATTGGCTTGCTACGGAGTGCGAGCCCCGACCACGGAGGGGCCACAATCTGGGTTGCTCAAGACAAGTCGCCTTCCTTCCGCGCGGCCCGGAACGTGTGTTTTGCCTTGAAGCACATTCTCAATAACGAGCTGAACAACAAAAAAAATCCTGGCGAAGGACCCAACCATATGCAATTGTGAATACTGCAATTGTGAATATCTTCTCGGTGGAGCCCCCTACGGGGCCACGAAACGTACGAGGGGTGTGCCGAAATGGGTGTGCGGGACGCATGCGGGCACACCCACTGGGGCCTTCGGTGGAGCTCCCTATGGGGCCACGAAACGTGTGAGGGGTGTGCCGAAATGGGTGTGCGGGACGCATGCGGGCACACCCACTGGGACCTTCGGCGGAGCTCCCTATGGGGCCACGGAACGCGTGAGGGGCGTGCCGAAATGGGTGTGGCTGACGCATGCGGGCGCGGGCACTGGGGCCTTCGGTGGAGCTCCCTATGGGGCCACGAAACGTGTGAGGGGTGTGCCGAAATGGGTGTGGCTGACGCATGCGGGCGCGGGCACTGGGGCCTTCGGTGGAGCTCCCTATGGAGCCACGAAACGTGTGAGGGGTGTGCCGAAATGGGTGTGGGTGACGCATGCGGGCGCGGGCACTGGGGCCTTCGGTGGAGCTCCCTATGGAGCCACGAAACGTGTGAGGGGTGTGCCGAAATGGGTGTGGGTGACGCATGCGGGCGCGGGCACTGGGGCCTTCGGTGGAGCTCCCTATGGAGCCACGAAACGTGTGAGGGGTGTGCCGAAATGGGTGTGGGTGACGCATGCGGGCGCGGGCACTGGGGCCTTCGGTGGAGCTCCCTATGGAGCCACGAAACGTGTGAGGGGTGTGCCGAAATGGGTGTGGGTGACGCATGCGGGCGCGGGCACTGGGGCCTTCGGTGGAGCTCCCTATGGAGCCACGAAACGTGTGAGGGGTGTGCCGAAATGGGTGTGGGTGACGCATGCGGCCGCGGGCACTGGGGCCTTCGGTGGAGCTCCCTATGGAGCCACGAAACGTGTGAGGGGTGTGCCGAAATGGGTGTGGGTGACGCATGCGGGCGCGGGCACTGGGGCCTTCGGTGGAGCTCCCTATGGAGCCACGAAACGTGTGAGGGGTGTGCCGAAATGGGTGTGGGTGACGCATGCGGGCGCGGGCACTGGGGCCTTCGGTGGAGCTCCCTATGCAGCCACGAAACGTGTGAGGGGTGTGCCGAAATGGGTGTGGCATGACTGAGCTGCATGCGGGCGCATGCGGGCACTGGGGCCTTCGGTGGAGCTCCCTATGGAGCCACGAAACGTGTGAGGGGTGTGCCGAAATGGGTGTGGGTGACGCATGCGGGCGCGGGCACTGGGGCCTTCGGTGGAGCTCCCTATGGAGCCACGAAACGTGTGAGGGGTGTGCCGAAATGGGTGTGGGTGACGCATGCGGGCGCGGGCACTGGGGCCTTCGGTGGAGCTCCCTATGGAGCCACGAAACGGTGTACTGGGTGGGTGAAGAGGAGAGGAGGAGAGGATGATAGGAGGGGAGAGGAGGCGGAGGAGGAGAGGAGAAGAGAGGAGACGCGGGCCACCGTCTCTTCAAAACGAGGACCCAACACCACAGGATGGTTGGGAACAAGATACAAATCGTAACCAACGGGTTTCCTTCTCTTGTATCCGTGGGTGGCGTTACTGCTCTTGTGGACGGGTCGCACCTTTCATTGGAATGGCACCCAAATTGGCAGGTTTGGGAAGAACTTCAACAACATCCCAAGCTGACTGAAGTCGTTGAGGAGAACACCACGCTCCTGGAGCGGGCTTCCGAGGGCATGAAAGGCACAGCAAAAGGAAGCTCCAAAGGCAACACGGCCGGCCCGTGCCGGCCCAGAAAATCTATCTGTACATACATCTGCCGCTATTGTGGGCAGAGACTCCACCACAGGCGCTACGTACTCGGGCAAAGATACCGTCGTAAAGCGTAAAGCGGTCGTTTCACCATCGCTACATCACGGAACTGCTCCTCACCATCGTCTTCTACCTACTCCTCCGGGCCATCGTCATGGACAAAGAGACGGAGGGCTTCATAAACCATTTCTTCTTCCAATTTCTCTTGGGGTAGACCTCGGTCTGCCTGTTCTCCCTGCTGCTCCGGACTCATGGGCACGTGGAACATCGCAGGTTTACGTGGCGATTCCATCATCAAGACCGACGAACTTATCGACATCCTGCGCGTGCGCGAAATGGACACGTTATGCATACAAGAGACGCATCTACTTGGGGCAGAGTGCTATGATCGGAATGGTTTTACAATTTTCTTGTCGGGCGAGCTGGATGAGGATGTCCAGTCACACTCTGGTGTTGGATTCACGGTGTCGCCAAGATTATTGGAAAGCAGCGTGGCCTTCAAAGCGTGCTCCCCCAGAGTAGCATCCCTCAGAGTAAAGGTTAGACATGGTGCAACGCTGCTATCCACGTATGCCCCACACGACGGGCGTCCGTATGAGGAACGGCATTCTTTCTACATGGATCTTCAGGCGCATATCCGAGCGACCACTGCGAACAGCACGACGTACATCATGGGAGATTTGAACGCCAAACTCGGACGGGTCGTAGCCGGAGAACGAGATATCATCGGCCCTCACGTTTTTCAGTGCGCGGAGGTCCCGGGGAACGCGGTCCACAACGCCATTTCAAACAGGCACCTCTTAGTGGAATTGTGTTCGTCGTGTGATTTGTTGGTGGCCACTGTCCCCACTGTCCCCACTGTCCCCATCACTGTCCCACTGTCCCCACTGTCCCCACCACTTTCCCCACTGTGCTACTGTCCCACCACTGTCCTCACCACCGCCTTCACCACTGTCCCCACCATTACCGTCCCCACCACTGTCCCACTGTCCCCACCACTGTCCCGCTGTCCCCTCACCACTGTCCCCACCACCACCGTCCCCACCACTGTCCGCACCCCCACCCCAGTTTTCGAGGGGGTGTGGGGGGGAGGGGTTCGAACCAGTAGTGACCCCCCCCGGTTTTCGAGGAGGGGGGGTCGAACCCGTAGTGACCTCCCCCCCTTTTCATGATGGACTGGGCGGGGGGCAGGGGTTCGAACCGGTAGTGACCCCCCCCGGTTTTCAGGAGGGGGAGGGGGGGGGGGTTCGAACCGGTGACCCCCCCCGGTTTTCTGCCAGCAGCGGTAGAACACGCTCTTTCGCTTATTTGAGGCTCTATTGGGGTGCCTCTTGGGGCGTCTTCGGGGCCTCTTTTTGGTGTTTTTTCGGGTCTCATGGGGGGCCTCTTGGAGCTTCTTGGGCGCTTCTTGGAGCCTCTTGGGGTCTCCTGGCGGTCTCTTGGGCCAAAAGGCGCGAATGTCCGGTTCCTCGTCCCCGTCTTGGGCGCCGACTTGGGGCGTTCTTGGGCGGTTTGGGCGCCTCGTGGGCCGCCTTGGCCCCCTCGTGGATCGTCTTGGGGCCCTCTTGGGGGCATCCTCGACCGGCTTGGGTGCCTCTTGGACCGTCTTGGACGCAGTGGAAGCCCAAAAGGCGAACACGCCAAAAACCTCAGCTTTCCGATAGGAAATCAACGATGTTTGCTTATTGGGGGTCTCTCGGGGTGCCTCTTGGGGCGTCTTCGGGGCCTTCGGGAGCCTTCTTGGCGTCATGGGAGTCGGCTTGAATGAAAGGCATCCGAAGCCATCGGAGCGCGTTTTCGAGCGTTCCGAAGCCATCTTCGGGCGATCTTGGACGGCCCCCCGCGCTCTGGCAGGGCTCCCGGCGCGCCGGGCCCCACATTTGCGGTCGGGGCTCCGGCCCCCGGCCCCCGGACCCGGTCCCCCGTTATATGTATATTTGTCGGGGCCGTTGGCACTACACTGGGCAGGGAGATTGATTCTGTAGAAGTTCTCAACGGCCGGGCCCGAAACGGTTTTGAAGAAGCTTCTGAGACGTTACCTGTGCGGGAGACGATGCCCAAACAAGCGTGGACAAACCGGCGTACTCTGGATTTGATCAAGCAGAGAAGAGATGCACGCAGAGCCAGGGACCACAACGCGGAGAAGTCTCTACATAAGGCAATTCGAAAGTCTAGAGATCAAGATCCTAAAGAATGGCTGGGGCGACTCATCCAAGGGGGAGGATGAGAAGCAGTTCGACTTCTCAGGAAGCCGCAGAGCATCAAGCATGCGACGATACAGCGACCAGACGGGACCCTGGCAGACACAGCTGACCGAGCAAATGTTTTGGCCGATTATTTCGAGGACGTCCAATGGCAAATACGTTTCCCAAACAATATCCCGGAAACGTGAGCTCCCATAGGTGATGCACTGCCTGTCAATACGGGTCTGTTTAACACAGAAGAACTTGTAGGAGCATTGCGACGCTACGTCGTGGCAGAGCTCTGAGTTCGGATGGGATACCGCCAGATGTTTGGAATGCCTTAGGGTCAGACTGGAATGCTTCTGCAATCGTGCTTCGTCTGTGCCAAACATGTTGGGAACAAAAATAAATGCCCGAATCTTGGAGGCGTGCGAACGTAGTTCTTTTATTCTAAAAGGGGAACATCAAGCTACCAGAAAACTACAGACCAATATATCTGCTTCAGATTGGGAACAAGCTACTGGCTTCTATGATCCGCCATCGTCTGCGTCAAGGTGGCGCTGAGTCCCGGATTCGGGGATCCCAATTTGGGTTCCGCCCTGGACGTGGGACGGCCGACGCCCTCATGCTCGTCTGGCGCATGATTGACGCGGCATACAGCAACAATGAAGGCGACCTTTCTTTGTTAATGCTGGATTGGGCTAAGGCAATTGACAGACTCAAGCCAAGAAGTATGTGCGACGCCTGTGAACTGCCCCCAGGCATGGTGGCTACGATTGAAGCTATTTACTCCGAGTGTTACTTCACGATTGTGAATCACACAGGGAAATCAACAGAAAGACGGCAAGCGGTAGCCATCGCGCAGGGATGCTCACTTTCCCCATACTCATTCATTGATGTACTACCGACTATGCTGCACGATGCTTTTGGCTCCATCAAGTTCGAGGATGAGCCTGGCTACGTGGTGACGCGCGACAAGCTCTGTGCTGATGATACGCTACTGGCGTCGCAGAGCAGGACAGACATTCAGAACATGCTTAACGTTATTATTTGGGAAGGCTGTGTAAGTATGGTCTGGAGCTGAATTGGGACAAGACGCTACTCATGCATATCTCAATTAATGCTGTCGCTGTTCGGCCTGCTGAAGGTCCTATCAAAACTGTGCGGGAAGCTATGTATTTGGGCGGTATGCTCTCTTGCGACGGTAAAGCAACAGCCGAGATGATCCGACGGTTGGGGGAAGCGCAGGGCATCTTCAACACGCTTGCGAAGATTTGGTCGCACACCGCTGTTGGATGGGTTCGGAAGTTCAAAGTAGTCGATAGTGTAGTGTTGAATAAGTTATTGTACTCGCTCGACTCTTTGTGGCTGTTGAAGGCAGACAAATCGAGGCTCGACGCGTTCCACTGCCGCTGCCTGCGTCGCATCCTGGGCATTCCACATTCTTTCTTTTCACGAGTAAGGAGGTTTTGGCACGAGCTGGCGCCAAGCCATTATCTCAGCTTCTACTTCTACTCGAACGACAAAGAAGGTTATATATATATGTATATATCGGAAATTGGGGGGTGACTCCGACGTGAAACGGAGACCCCCCCTACCGGGAAATCGATTTCGGTTTCGGGTTCGTGTCGTGCGTGCCGTGCGTGCGTGCGGGCGAGGCGAAACTGCGTGGGCGGGCGAGAGAAAATCCTCCTGTGGCTGGGCCGCGGCCGGACCAAATGTAACTCCTCCAGCGGCCGGTACCACGCGGTGTCCCGCAGGTGTCCCGCTGGTGTCCCGAAATCCTCCTGTGGCTGGGCCGCGGACGGACCAAATGCTTCTCCTCCGGCGGCCAATGCCGCGCGGTGTCCCGCCGGTGTCCCGCTGGTGTCCCGTGGTGTCCCGTGGTGTCCCGTGGTGTCCCGTTGAGTGAGATCGATCGTGAGATCGATAGTGAGATAGATACTGAAATCGATGTGGTACCCCGAGGTGTCCCGTGGTGTCCCGTGGTGTCCCGTCGAATGAGATCGATAATGAGATCGATAATGAGATCGACAGGTGTCCCGTGGTGTCCCGTGGTGTCCCGTTGAGTAAGATCGATCGTGAGATCGATAATGAGATCGATACTGAGATCGATGTGGTGCCCCGAGGTGTCCCGTGGTGTCCCGTGGTGTCCCGTTGAATGAGATCGATGGTAAGATCGATAGCGAGATCGATTGAGTCAGATGTTGGTTCCCCCCCCTCTCCCCCCACATAACCTCCTTATCACCCGAAGGGTGGTCGTACAGGTATACTCATATATATATATATATATACAAGAAAGATATAGATATCTCAGAATTGATTCCAATAGACCATCATCCTTAGTACGTCAATGCTTATGCAATCCGGACGGCACCCCCAAACAATGGGTGGAACGCCCGCGACGCGGCCGGCCCCGACAGCAGTGGGCGCACCAGGTGTACGAGTTGACGCAGCACCCCTGAGGCTTCCCCTGGGCTCCCTCTTCTGTCCTCGTCGTCTCCCCCCCTCGCCGTGTCGTGTCCTCTTCTCGTGCCTATCATGCATTGTTGTGTTTATTGTCCTGCCTCTCTGTCAGGTGTGACCGATATGTCATGGGAACCACATGTTCCGTTTCACTGGTGTGCAGCATTCTCGCAGAAGATGTGATTGACCCAAGAGTTGCCAATCGCGCACTCTTCCGCCCACGCGTCCTGCCGGATGCATGGCTCAGTGGTGGTGGTGGTGGTGGCTGGGAGGTCCAGCCACCACCACCACCACCGTCCGTGAAACTCTTCCGAATGTTCACGAAAAATATGCGCGGCGCCGTGTGAAGTTCTTGCAAACTGTTCAGACGAATGTGCGCGGCGCTATGACGAGAACCACATTTTGAAAACGGCCCACCTTCCATCCGAGGTGGACGCGCGCGGCGCAAAGGCGAGAACCACATCTTGAAAACGGCCCACCCTCCATCCGTGAAACTCTTGCAAAAATTTACGAAGAACGTTCGCGAATCACATTTGAATGAAAACCACCCGCAATCCATCCGCGAACCTGTTGCAAATTTCAAGCTTTAGGGTCATGCGTGGTGAAGGAGTCTCAGGCGAAACGCCCGGCCCGCCCTACCGACGCGTCTCGGGGTGCGACAGGGAAGAGTTCTTTGCAAGGACGAGAGATGGAGGAGCAGGAGGGGGAAACAAGAGGAGGAAAAACAGGAGGGATGAGGGAGAGAAGTGGAGGTGACTCGCCACTGTGGGTAGCTTCACCACCACGGGCGCGCCTGCGGCTTGCCCTGCGGCTGGCTCCCGGGCGGCTGCACCCGCAGCTGCAGGGCCAGGGGGGCCGTGCCCTCGTCGACCATGTGCATAGCCCTCAGCAGCTCCTCCCGGGCGGGGAGCGGTTGGGTTCCATCCCTCTTCTCAATCCTCCACCTCCTCCATCCTCATCCTCCTCCTCCTCCTCCCCCTCCTCCTCCTCCTCCTCCTCCTCCCTCCCTCCTCCTCCTCCTCCTCCTCCTCCTCCTCCTCCTCCTCCTCCTCCTCCTCCTCCCTCATCCTCCTCCTGCTCGTCCTCCTCGTGATCATCCTCAGCAGCAGCAGACTCATCATCATGAGCATCATCAGAATCATCATCATCATCATCATCAGCAGCAGCAGCATCATCATCGTCATCATCATCATCGTCGTCGTCATCATCATCATCATCATCATCTGCAGCAACATCGTCATCATCAGCATCAGCATCATCAGCATCAGCAGCAGCATCTGCATCATCATCGCCAGCATGATCATCATCGTTATCAGCACCATCCTCATCATCATCATCATCGTCATGGTCATCATCACCATCATCATCATCGTCATCAGCAGCAGCAACAGCATCATCATCATCAGCAGCATCATCATCATCATCAGCAGAGACAGCAGCAGCAACAACAGCATCATCAACATCAACAACATAATATTGATCAGCATCAACATCAGCATCAACACCAGCATCAGCACCAGCATCAGCGTCATCCTTATCGTCATCAGCAGCACCATGAGCGCCATCATCATCATCATCATCATCATCATCATCAGCAGCAGCAGCAGCAACAGCAGCAGCAACATATTCATCGGCATCATCATGTTCATCACCATTATCATCAGCAGCATCATCAGCATCATCATAAGCTTCATCGCCAGCATCAGTATCAGCATCGTCACCAACACCGTCATCGTCAGCATCATCAGCATCAGCAGCAGCATCGTCATCATCATCAACTGCATCATCATCAGCATCAGCATCCTCGTTATCAGCATCATCATCATCAGCACCATCATCAGCATCATCATCAACATCATCGTCGTTGGCATCATCATCAGAAGCATCATCATCGGCATCGTAATCGGCAGAGCCATGGTCGTCATCAGCAGCAACGTCAACAGCACAATTGTTACCGACAGCACCATCAGCCTTACCAGCAACATCAGCATCATCGTCGTTGTCGTCGTCGCCATCAGTAGCAGCAGCATTATCATCAGCAGCTGCATCATCATCGTCGTCGTTATCATCATCATCATCATCATCATCATCATCATCATCATCAACAGCAACAGCAACAGCAACAGCAACAGCAGCAGCGTCGTCATCATCCTATGCATCGCCAGCATCACCCCATCAGTATCACCATCATCAGCAGCATTATCGCCATTAGTATCAGCATCAGCATCAGCATCACCATCACCATCGGCATCATCATCAGCATCAGCATCATCATCCGTCACCATGTGTGATCAAGATTTAGTATCATAGGCATCGCCATCAGCAGCATCATCGTCGTCATCGTCATCGCCATCGCCATCGTCATCACCATCATCATCGTCATCATCGCCATCATCGCCATCATCGGTTTCATCATCATACCCATCAGCATGCTCATAATCATCACTCGCATCATCACCAAGATCACCCCCAACCCCTAAATCATCGTCGCCAGCGCTATCAGTCTCTCATCGCAGCATCACCACGTCATAATGATCAACTCCTCATCTTCTCTCACTGATGCCTGACATCCTAACGCAAACGCACTCCAGGGATGCTGATAGCAGCGAACACCGAACCGAACTTGCACACTCAGTCTGCGAGTGAATAAGCGCGTACACGACAATGGTGGGCCCGATCACGACAACAAGCGCGTACACGACAATAAGTGGTACCTTACAATAAGCGCGTACACGACAAGGTGGCCAGGCCCCGAAATACCTGGGACGTCGCATGCGCCATGGAGCCACCGCGCCAATTCGCAGGTCGCAAAGGCTCAACGGCGCGTGTGCTCTCCCATCTCACGCTTGCGCTTGATGTCGACAGTCACAAAAGGCGGATGCACTGAGCCGAACCCCCCACCCCCGAGAGAGACGAATCCGAAGTGGGCACGTGCAAAGGATCACTTCTTCTCGGGACTTCACGTGGTTGAGAATTGCGTGCGCACTGTAAGGCACGCTGCTGTGTTACACATCCAGTCTGACGTACGGTAGAGTTCGTAGGTCGGCACCAGATGCAGCTCCACGTCGACGGTCGAAATGCGCGTGTAGAGGAGCAGCGGCGTGTCCACGAACATGGCACGGGAACTTCGAAGCTGGCACGGGCCGAGAGTGTCGCCTTGCTCGTCCGAAACCCTGGGCCAGATGCGAGGAAACGGGCGTTTGGCGACGCCGCCAAACTGGCCACGACGCTGCTGCAGCTCGTGGCCTGGGGCACCAGCGACTGCACGAAAAGCAGCAAGCCGAGCAGGTGCAGCAGAAGGTGGCAGCTCCCGCACGCGAGATCTCGTGGCTGGGCATGAGCAGAGAATTCGAGGCGACGCGGCAGCAGAACGAGAGGCATCAGGCGAAGGCGGGCGAGCTTCAGCGGGACGGGAAGTGGGAGGGAAGTGGACACAGGAGGGAAAGAAGGCAGAGGAGGGAGATCAATCTCGAAGCACTTTGCGGCACACCTGCTAACGTCCTCGGCCTTCGATTTCTTGTACCCTGACCTGGCCCGCCACTGCGTCACTTCTGTATCCTCCTCCAGTTTGATCCCACCTGCTTCGTCACCCCTCCTACCTGATCTCATACCCCTACCCATGTCTGTATCCATACTCCAGCTCCAAACATCTCACTTTTACTGCAGCTGCAACCGTCCTTCTGCTCGGTGACAGGTGGGGCAACCACGTACGCGGTCTGGAAGATGGGGTGGCTGGTCTCATCAGCCATGCTGAGGCCCAATGCCCTGGTCACTCGACGGTTTTCATCGGCAGGGCGAAATCAAACTGGCCAGCATCAGACATGGTGGGCTCGCAAAGCCAACACGTACGCGTTCGCAGGCGCCTCTGTGCGCATGACGACAGTGTACGCCATTACATACAGAATCGCGTGTACGTGTTCGTGCACTTTGCGGGTGGGCGTATGCTAAACGCCGCTGTGCGCATATCCTGAGGCTCTAAAAAGCCCACGACCTGTCACTAAGCTTTGTCGTAACACTATCTTCCAAATTGCTCGCCGATTCAGTCCCTAATCGTTCTAAGGCTCTGGTCAGCATGGTAGACATGGAACGTGGGTGTATTCCTGTGAGGTCCTGTCAGTTTTTAACTGTGTTCTCTACACTCCCACTCATTCGTATGTATCCGCCACCGTGCCGCGAGGCAAGAAGAGTCCTCTGGTAACTTCGACTTCTCTTCAATAGCACTGACAATATTTGTACAATAAACGGCCCAGACCCCGGATTCCCGTGCGCTCATGGGCGTTCCCAGGTGCTCTTGGTAGCTTCCAGGCGCTATCGAGGCGGCTGTCGTAACTTTTTCAAGTCCTCTGGGGGCGAGGTGTGGATTTCATACTTCCAGCAAGGCCTGAGATGGTCTCTGGGCCCGTCCTGAAGCCTTGTTGGGCGCCTCTTGGGCCGTCTTGCATGCCCCGGGAGCCACCCTAAGAGGCCAAACAATTGAAACACCTGAGGCTTTTTCAAGAGCCCGATTAATTTTTCACGATGACGCCTGTGACCAGCGCCGCCCCCCCCCTCCCCCTGATCACGTCACGATTCGCGCCGGCGCCGTCTGGAAACCAGCCATTCCGAAGCATTCCAGAACTGGGTAAGCGCGGATCGCGACGCGGCGTGCCCCTTCGCCCCTTCCCCCCCGCTCACGCCCGCCATCGCCAGGGAGTGAAAAACGGTCTCCAATTGACTTCAACCCTGCCTTGTCGGTAGATCGCCCGAGGACGGCCCAGCAAGCCTTAAAGATCGCCCCGAGGCACGGCAGTGACGACCCCGAAATCTCCCGGCGATGCACAATGCGGGGGCGTCCAAGAGGGGGGCGTCCAAGAAGGCGGTTCGCAAATTATGGCCCGAAGCATGTGCGCGGCCCCGAGGGGGGCCAGGGGACGTCTTCAAGGAAGAGGACAGACAGCAGCCACGCCCAGACGGCGCATTGGCAAGAAAAACTGCGACAAGTGACGGCGTGCAGGCACATGTCAAAATCTACGTCAGAATCGATTGCACTGCTGGCGGCTCGGCTTCAGACAATGGGATGACTTTGTACCCCATGGGACGCGATGCGTTGGCCTGCAAACAATCCTAGAGGAGAGAAGGGGAAGGAGGGGGGCCTAGGCAGTCATCAATCAATCAAGATTGCACCAAGCTTTGACAACTGGGCGCCAATTCCCTTCGTCTCCGAGAAGATTTTGAGTCGATCTGGGCTTCGCCCAGACAGCGCCGAGGCGTATGAGCGCATGTACGTCGTCCATTGCAAACGCGGCCTGCCTCTGGCTCGTCTCACGTTCGAGGCAAGACAGTGGAAATGTTCCCGGTAAACGACACACGTCTTGAAAAACTGTTCGAAGGTTCCCGGACGAGCCTGCCATACAGCAGTAATTGGCGTTACAGCAGTTTGTAGATCTTGGAAATCCGCCGACCCCCATTGCCCAGGTGAGAGCGACTGAGATGTTTGGCTGTCCCCCTCCCCCTTTCCCCTCCCCCATGGTCCACAGTCCCGTTTAACGGGGAAGGGGCTATCTGGGTTCCACAGCGCACCCCCAGAGACTCCGGAACTTCCAAATCTGCCTTCCATGGCCTCAAAAGACGTTCCAAGACGGTCCTGAATCGCGGAACGATTGGCTCAAGACACCTACGATGGCTCCAAGACGCCCCAAGACGCCTTCGAGATGCCCCAGAAGCCCTCCCACGAGGGCCCCGAGAAGCAAAATGGGTGTTCCTTACTACGTTCAATGGAAAAATCGGATCAAATAAATCCTCGGACAACCCCCTGGACAACCCAGAACCCCCTCATGTGATTGTGGCTGGCGCCCGAGCGGCAGCACGAGAAGAATCCAATATTTCCGCCCCGAGAAGCCCCCCGAAGGCCCCATGAAGCCCCCAAGCGGCCCCCACGATGCCTCAACCATGGACTCCACGCCTCTTCTGGGGGTCGGCGGAATGGCGTAAGCCTCTTGAATATGAAGTCTGAGTGATACTCTGGCCCCTGCCATGATCTCCACACATCCAGAGCCATCACCTCCCTCGTGGCCTCCCCCGACACATGTTGGAGCAGGTCCAAGTCCAGGCCTGACGCCCCCAAAAGAAATCCTACGAGAGCCATGGCACAACCATAAGCAACCTCACTACTAGGTGGCGGGTTCCAGAAATCCTGAATTACAAAACCTTGACATCTTGGTGGCGCATACTTTGCGTCCGCCATCCATCGAGGAAAAAATGGAAACTCATTACATCCTCGAAGGCGAGGCCTTTTCTGGAACGTCTCATACGTTGACCAAACACGCATCATGCCGATAACACTAACAAAATTTCACACTGAAACAGGTCCACACTCTTCCGGTGCTCGGCAAGTGGGCGACGAAAAGAAAGGGGTCCCACGCGCGATGGCATGGCGGCCTTGCGCGGTGATTACCACGGGTCGCCAGCACGGCGCGCTGCAGTGGAAACGAGGGCGCTCGCGCGCAACCCTACGCGGGCAGCTCATGCACGAATACGCGCGCAGTCAGCCCCGTTCTCTTCCGTCGCTCAGGTGGCTAATGTGACTACCTTACAGACCACCCCAACCCAACCCGCAGACACAAAATTCGAGGGCTCCGTCGGTTCCTCTCAATGTTCCGACATCCCCCCCCGCCCACTGGGAATGGATGGCAAATTGGAGCCGTCGGGTTGGGTTGGGGTGGTGGTGGTCGGTATCGAGTCGGCATGAGCCCGGGGCCCACGAGCCTCGTGAGGACTCTGAAGTCGAGCGCGCCGTGGGCTGCCTGCTGCAGCGGGGGAGGCTCCCGCTTCTCCCTCTCTCCCTCGCCCTATCTCCTTTGTTTTTCTCTCTCTCTCTCTCTCTTTCTCTCTCCCTCTCTCTCTCCCTCTCTCTCTCGCTCTCGCTCGCTTTCCCTCTCCCTCTCCCTCTCCCTCTCTCTCTCTCCCCCTCTCTCCCTCTCCATCTCTCTATATGTATATAGAGAGATCTATACATCTCTATCTCTCTCTCTCTCTCTCTGTATCTCGTTCTCTCTTTCTCGTTCTCTCTCTCTCTCTGCCTCTCCCTCCTCCGACCCCCCACCCCGTCTAGCCTTTCCCCGCATCCGCCACCGAATGAGCGCAAGGCAGACGAGGCCCCCCCTTCCTCGATGGCCCTGCCCGCCTACACCGAGGGCGGGGGGACGAGGACCCCGGAGGAGTCCCCGGAGGATCTGCGGGGACTCGCGGGACAGCGGAGAGACCTTCAACGATCACCGTGGACCTCAAAAGCCTCGACGCGCTGCGGTTGCCGCGGGCGGAGGGCATCGCATCCAGCGGAGCAGCGCTTTGGCCAAATGCCCTGCACGGCTTCGCGCTAAGACTGACAGCCTCCTTGCTCTACAAGCGCAAGCGAACTCGTTACGCGCACATCACAGGGAGTTCTTGTTCGGCGGAGATGCGTCTCGCAAGCACCTTACACGTCCTGGCCGCTGCACCCTGGGCGCCGCCCCTGTAGTAAGCCAAAGAAGAAGGAGGGGCCAGCACCCCTGCACCGAGCCAGCTAAAAACACCCCAGGGTTGGGAGAGCGGGTCGAGCAGCAGACTGCGATGGAGCAGCGGCGGGCGCAGAAAAAAACATCAAATGTAGCGAGTAGCAATAAAAGGACCCCCAACCCTTTGGGAGGGGCTAAACTTAGGAGAGCCAGAAACACGAGGGATAGGGGGGGTCCTTTCTGCAGATGTATCAATCCAGACAGCCCAGAAGTACGATCCCTAGTGCCGAAAAGTTGACCTCAGCGAGGCCACGTCCTCACTGTGTTTTTAGGGTTAGGGGTTATGTTCTTCGCGGTGATGCAGCATGAGAGCATGGCACACCCTTGGATAGGGATGCATACGCGCCCTGGTATCTGGGGTCTTTCTCGGCGGAGATGCGTCTCGTCAGTGCCTTACACGCCTTGGCAGCTGCACCCCGGCTGCCGCTCCTTCAGGGAGCCACGGAAGAGGGGGGCCAGCACCCCTGGGCCGAAGTGGTTGGAAACCACCCCAGCATCGCCCCAGAACGGGAAGTTCTCGAACCCAGCGGGCGCGCGGAAGCGGGGCGGGTGGGAGGGCGACGCAGCGCGCGGCAGCGCGCGCGCGAGACGCACAGTGCGGGAGAGCCTCACTCACGCGGCCACGGAAGTTCTGAAACAGCAAAGCTGAAGGGGCCCAGGGACACACAAATAGATACACACAAATCCCATGATTCCCCATATTTCCCCATAGTTTCTGGGTGTCCATCGTCACCCCCACTTCCCATGTTTTCCCACATATTCCTGGGGATCGACGATTAATTGTGACTGTGTGTATGCCCCCTCCTGAAAAGTTCACATTGCGAACCTTACGCAGCAAGGCGCAAGCGAGTGACGTACACAGACGGGGCGGACAAGGCTGTGCCTGTCTAGTCATGGCAGGGCCCACTCACTGGTGACGACTGTGTTCCGTAGCTGAGCAGAAGCCGCGGGCACCTTCGCACCGCTTCTTGATGCCTGGAAGATCGCCTCGAGGAATATTGCCGCCACCAGACACGGCGCCTGTCTCCGGGGCACACCGACTTGGCAAAATCACTCGCGACTGAGACCACGTCTGGGAGAGCCATGCGCTGTCTCACCTGGGGCATCGCCACACATCAACAATCATTTCCAACCCTCAGATTATCTGTCTTCTTCGTTGGCCCACGGCTTCCCCGGGGGCATTCGGGCGATCGAATCACAGCGGTGCGATCTCTAGCCGCGCTGAACGTCTGGCAGGATGGCGCAAACACGCCCGCCAATAGTTTATGCCGATGCAGCGCGGTACTGGGGCACAGTGAGATCACCTGCGGGTCCGTCACCGATCACCCAAGTCCGCGCGGGAACCCCGCCGGCGCGGGCGGCCTTGGCGACGCCGCCTTCGCTGGCGAAGAGGTCGCCCGAGAACTGCCCCTTCAACGCCGCGCCCACACGAAGGCCCCGCGGTGGGCGGCGCTGAACCAGAACGCCCCGCGGCCCCTGGCGCGCCCTCTGGGGCGCGGCAGGTCGGCGGTCGGCGAAAGCATCGCGGCCTGTCGCCTGCAGCGGCGAGCCTTTGAGTGGCTGATGCTCGCCATTGGTTCTGTCCTGAGCGAAGCCAGCCCCGCGCGCGACCTGCGACCGTCGGCGCAAGCCCCCGGGGGCTCTCTCCCGGCCGGGGGGGGGGGGCTGGCAAGTCCAGCTCTTGCCCATAGCGGAACGAACAGTGACAGAAGCATGAAAACTCGGAGGCCCGCGCGGACTTCTCGGATCGGCGCTGGACCCCCCCCCTCCCTGGCGCGCGGAGCGCGCCAGGGGCGGCGCCGAAGGCGCCGCCAGGGAGGGGGGGTGCAGCGCCGATCCGAGAAGTCCGCGCGGGCCTCCGAGTTTTCATGCTTCTGTCACTGCTCGTTCCCCTGGCCCAGCAGCGGCCGCTGTCCTGCGAGGGTCCGAGGAGCCGCCTCGCACGGCCTCGGCCGGCGCCCCGCGCGCCGACGCGGCCCCCGGCGCCTCGCGGGCTCGTCGCCCCCCCCGGTGGCGTCGACCTCGCGCACTGGGCCGAGCCCCACCACGGGCACGGGGAAGCCCAGGCGAAGGGACGCGCAGTGGCGGCGGACGCCCCGGGCAGAGGCAGGGGTGGGCGATGGCCACCCAGGGCGCGGCCAGCCGGGGCCCGACGCTCGCGTCTGGGGCGTGCCAAGAGGTGGCGATCGTCCCCTCCGAGGCGCGAACCTCCTCTCGGACGTGTCCCGGATCTGGGCGTCCACTAGAGGGCAAAAAATCCACCCCCAGAACAACCACCCCGACAAGTGAGGCCGTTTAGTGAACGCATCCAAAGAAGGAATCGAACAGTGCAGGGGTTTTAGGAAACGCCCAGGGCCGTTTCGTAAACGCCAATTGTCCAGTCTGGGTGGTCCTTCCTCCCTTGACCCACGCCCACGTGGCCCGAGATCTCGACGGGCAGGTGCGTCCGCGCCTCCAGGGGCGCCTCCAGTGCGGGAGCGGACGGAGCGACCAGCGGCGGGGGCACGGGCCTCGGCGGGCCTCGGGGGAGCGCGCTCCCCACGTGGGGCAGCAGCATGACGTCCTCAGAAGCAGTCAGCACCGCCGCGCGTCCATCCCCAGAGCCCTCGGCCATAGGCATGGGCCTCGCCGTCCTCGGCGACGGGACTCTCGGAGTCCCGGTCCGAGGCAGGGTCGCCCGCCGCAGCGCCGCGGCGGAGGCGAGGGGGAGGCGAGCGGTGGCCTAGGCCCAGGCCACTCGGGCCAGGCCCTCGGCCCCCGTGCCGAGCAGCAGACTTCGGTTGAGCACAAGCGGTCACAGGAGGAACCCGCCACTGTAGCGTCAGACCACGACGCCCCTTTCGATAGCTATGCGCACGTACCCCAATCCGTATGCCGGTCCAAGACTGCACAGCTCTCTCTCTCTCTCTCTCTCTCTCTCTCTCTCTCTAGATACAAGGCGCGATACAAGCAGGAATGTATCTACCCAGCTGACGCATCAAGTGGTTAAATACAAAACTGCAGCTATGCAGCTATATGCATGTATATGTACGATATGCAGCGACAAGCCTATATAGTTATAGGTGAGAAATGCACACATGTGTATATAGCTACGTACTGGTACAATGAGTGCCCCCACCTGGAAAATGCGCCTGCATAACTCAATTCCCGACCGATGTGGCTTACCCGCGGGCGCCACAAGGGGGCCCAAGGTGTCCCAAGGCAGTTCTAAGAGGGTCGAGCCCTCCACTGCACTTCGATATTACCCCAACTCCACAACCTCCAACTGGAGAACTCTGCTCCATACTCCCTGACTGCCCAAGCCCCTAGCTCTAACTACCTCCCTGATCTCTTATTCGTGACAAACCCTTCCCCGCCGAGAAAGTCGCACGTCGGCACCCGTCCCCCTCGTCATCGCCCTTACTGCCTGCCTCTTCCTCCCCTCCCTCCATCCATCGCTTCCTCCGTCTCGAAGTCCTTTTCCTTGCCACTCCCTCTCTCCCTCCTTCACTCCCCCCATCCACCAGCATCTTATTCTATAGATAAAGTCTCGATGATCTTAACCTGGCTTCCATTAGCCAAATGTTTGAATGATGTTCGTAGCAATCTTCTCAGTGATCTGATAGATGGCGTCTGAATCCTAATTTTCTGGTGCTCTTGTTCGTTGATTCATCGCTTAGCTTATCGAGATGATATTGATTAAGGTCAGCATTGCTATGTTACCCGTATATGTAACTGATGTATATGATTCGCAGTCCTCTGGTCATTGTTGTTGATACTATGGTGATTATTTTTGCCCCCCCCCTGCCTTCCGCATTTCCTCCCCCGGTCCTCCCCCCACCCATCCCCCCCCCCGTTGCCCTGTCCCCTCCCCATGTGTGTCACTCCTCCTTCGAGGCCCGCCGATCCCTGCCCTTGCGTCTCCCGCCGCGCGACGGCCTTCTTGGCGCGCAGCCTCTTCAGCTCCTCGAGGATGCTCCTGAAGAGGCCGCCGGCGGTGTGCGGCGCCTCCTCGTGCCCCAAAACGACGGGACGAGACGGCACAGCACGCAGAGCCCAGCAACCGCGGACACGGCACGCAGTGCACGGTGCGCACCGCACGGCATGCAGAACACGGCCCTCGCGCGCCGATGGTTTCGGCAAGCACTGCTCCGGACCTCGCGGCTGCAGTCAAAGGGCACGGCACCGCCGCTTCGGGCACGGCCGCGGGGCACGACACACGCAAGTCACGCCGCGCAAGCCTCCACACGGAGGGTACGGCGGGCGGAAGAGATGGGATGTGGACGCAATGAGGAAAGATCGTAGAAGGGATGGATATAGGAAGCAGGGAAGGGGGAGGCACCTCTCCCGACTCTGTCCGCACGATCATCGGGACCAAGCCTGAGGGGAAGACGTCGAAGCCGTTCCCCCTCACCTCGAAGCCGGTGACAAACTCCGAGCTCCGGCCCATTCGACCTCGTCACCCCGCAGCCAGGCGCGGATGAGACTCACAGTCGTAAGGGATGTGACATGACAAGGTAAAACGACAGGATGACGATAACTGTCCACATCCACCAGTCCTGGCCAAGCTGATTTAAACCCACGATCAGTGCGAACACCCTCTTGGCCCGACCAAGTATGCATGTACACCAATACTGGGAACGAGATGGGCGCGGCAAGAATCGATGCACGCGCATAGTTCCATCGTTCCTACGAATACCGCATGCATTGTCCCAGGTTCATATGCACGCCGCTGCACAATCCCTGATCAAGGTAATTGGCCTGGGAACCGTTCCTGGATGAACTGGTGGGGATACTCGAAGCGTCGAGAACTGGGCCCCAAGAAAGGAATCCGGTTCACGCTGCAGTAGCACCCGTGGGCGTCTGGGGGCATGCCTCCCGCTGCCAGATCGAAGACCGACAGGCGATTGGGGAGGCGAGGGAGGGGGAGATAGGGCGGGAAAGACGGAAGCCGAGGGCGAAGCAGGATGAAAGGGGTGGGGTGGAATCGGGCCGGGCGAAAGGGGGGGGGGTAGCAAAGGGGGGGTTTGAGAATCAGCTCACGTAGCTGATTCTCCCGGCGCCTCCCGGCGCCGGGAGGCGCCTATGTATCGAGGAATGGGCCCCTCGGTGAGGCCGAAACCAGCTGCATGCAGCAGATTTCGTAACCCCCCCTTTCCCAATCCCCCCCTTTCGCCCGGCCCGATGAAAGGGGTGGGGTGGAAGGAGCGGAAGCCAGATGGCTCTCCCGCAGCGCTGCCAACTCCCCCCCTGGCGAAAGACTGCCGCTCGAGCAGAGCACCTCACCAGCCCTCCGGGCGGCTGGCTGCCTGGGGTGACACGTACATCGGGGGCGCGCAACCATGGATCGGGAGAGGTGCCCTCCCTAAAATGCGGCCGGTGCGGCCTCGCTCGGCCGCGACAATCCGCGATTTCCTATGGAAACGGGACCCGTCGGTAATCCATGCCCCCTTGATCCATGTTTGCGATCGCCTGAGTACAATGCCCCAGCTCCCTGACGGAGGGCGACGTGACCCTTCCCCCACCTCCTTGGGCGGCGCGCAAGAGGGGGTAGCGCGAGGGGGGAGGCCTTCTGAGAGGGCGGGGGACCTCCTGAGAAGGCCAGGGGGCGTCTCATGCCGCCCCAGCTCCTGTTCTATATTCCGCACAAGAAAAAAACTGCTTAGAAGCCAAGAGGCCCTTCTTAAGAAGGCGGCCTTTCTGCGAAGGCCCCTGGCTTCCAAGAAGCGCGCCGCCTTCTTAGAAGTCCGCCCCCCTCGCGCCCTCCCCTTGCGCGCGCCGCCAACCTCCCTCCCTCGGGCCCCGACTTCGGCGGGCAAAGGCTGTGCGCGGGCTCCCTGTCCGCATCGAAGGCCAGCGACGCCCCTGGTCAAGCCGTCCGAAGGCGTACCTAAATCACCCGAGACGACTGGCAGCACCCAGGGGAGGCGATACCCCGTTAGATCTCCGTAGGACGTCGTCTCCGCAAACCTTCGAGGCCAAGGAAAACGCCCTTAAAAGCCTCATGCAAAACCGTCTCAATGCCGGTGCTATCCGTGCTAAGTGTGCGGACGGTGCAGCGCCGTGAAGTGCCCCAGAGCAAACAAAACTGCCAAACACGAAGTGCATAAAGCTCACCTGAGCAACACAATGAGACAACAATGACATCACCAGCACCTCACCTGAAAACGCAAAGCAGTCCATCAAAGAGCAGAGCAGGAGGCAACCGGCACAGTTAAGAGAGAAGCATCGCGAGAGGCTCTCTCCCTCTCGTCCCTTTCTTCCACCTCCTCTCGAAGATGCGGAGGGGAAAGACGATTCCGCCGAGAGGCCCACCGAGGATGCAAGCCCAAACGGTGTACATCATGACGATGCAGACCACGCTGTCGTCTCTGATGTTTGTGAGGGAGGAGGTGTACGCCTCCCGTCAACCAGATGGCTTGGGGCGCACCGGAGTGCCATCGGAGGCGCCAAAATGCTGTCGAATGCCTGTCTCCGAGGCTTTCTGCAACTCTCAAAAGCAATCGAAAACATTCACAAACTGTCAATTGCTTTCTAATCAATTCTGCATGTTGTCGACAATTCACGGATGTGCTCGAATCATGGTCGATGGTATCTGGCGGCGCTCGGACATTCTCTGATGTTTCCAAGCGCTTCCCGATCAAAACAGTGCTTGTGCGTTAGGGCTCTTACTGATGTAAAAGATTGATGGTTGCCTGCACCCATGTGGCACGCGTTCAAGAGCCTGACACTCTTTCAGGTGGTTTCTTGGACCCCTGTGGCCTAGACCCCTGGGGCTTCCCGCCACACCACTTACGCGTGCCGAACGTTATGAAGGGTGCTTGGACCGCGAGTTTGGACTCCTGTGGTTTCTCACCCCTTTGGCCCAGCGCGCCGCACGTCCCAGTGGCTGCTTGGAACCCTCTGGCCTGGGCCTCTGGGCTTCCCGCCCACGTGGCCTTCCGCTCCGCAAAGGAACCCTCCCGAAACGGTGCCAAGGTTGCCCAAGAAAGCCTCCACACGCTCCGAGAAGGGGCCCCATCAGAGAACCCCAAGACGGGCCAAGAGGGCTCCAAAAGAACGCCCAAAGGGCTATCGATGGCAAAAAACATTGCTTCGCCTAAAGTTTAGGCACACGGGCCCCTTGTTGTTTCCTACAGCCCAAGACGGTGCAGAGCGTCCCCAAGAGGACCCCACGACATCCCAACAGGGCCTCAAGAGGGCCCCAGGACGGTACAGAGGGGTTCTAAAACGGCCAAAACAATTTTCATGACGACCCAAGACAGGCCTATATGCCCCAAAAACGGCTCAAGAGGCCCCCAAAAAGGCTCCAAATGGTGCCCAAGATGGGGAAACTCGAGCTTGCACCGACAACCGTTTTCTCACACAAAAAACACAGGTGTTCCCAAATATTCATCAAATTCTGACAAACGGGCTTCTCGCGCCGCATGTCGAACTCATTCGGACGCCATGGCGCGCGTGCGGGGGGGGGGGGACACGCGAGAAAAATCCCACGCGGGCCACCCGCGCGTCGGCCGCGCACGCATGTCGAAGTCCGCAAATAACCTTCATCGCCGACGCGAGGACATCGTCAACGTTATCGGCGGGCGTGGTCAACATCGGCGTCGTCATCGGCCTTGCCGTCGTCATCGCCACCATCGCCACCATCATCGTTACTCTCGCAATCGTGTCTCCCGTTGTCGGCGTCGCCGTGATACCGCGCCCGCACACGTCACCGACTCGCACGGAAGTGCCCGCTGGGAAATGCCCAGCGGTCCGCGCCACCGCGGCCGCGTCGGTCGCGCCAAACTAGCCCGCCGCTGTGCGCGCGAGCATGCGCGGGCTAGCGCGGCCGCAGAGATGCACCACCCGACGCCTAGCACTCATCGCAATCGCCGCCGCATGGGTTTTGCAAACCAAGTTGCGGGCGGCGGGGTGGGATGTGTGCAAGAGCATGCAATGTGTCAAAAAAAATATCTTGAAACGAATCAAGATCCACCACCATCCAAAGGCCGGAGTTATCAAGAACCCCTCGGGATGGGCAAATTAAATGTGATGTTTGCCCATCGCCCATCCTCAACATGAGCTCATACGGTCCCAGGAAAGCCAGAGTTCGCACCCTCCACTCACATCCTCTGCAAAAACACGATGCGCGCACATCCGTTTCTCAAGAACCTGCAAGTGTCAACCATCCTTTTCTGAGAAAAATACACACGCGCGGGTCGTCGCGTGCGCATGCCGACCTCCTTAAAAAACCGTTGGTTTCGTAAGGAAGTCAAAAGCGGCCACGCTCTTGCGGTTCATTTATTGTTCAACAAATCTCAACAATTCGTAACATGCTACCAAACGGTCCGCTCGCGCGCGCATGTCGAAATCGCTCGAACGCCCTTGCGCGCGTGCTGTCGCAAGAACCCGTTTGCAAGACACGGGACGAATTGCACGCGCGCGCGTCGTCGCGCGCGCATGCCGGCAACCTTCCACAACATTACGTGTCGGAAGAGGTGACACATGTTCTGCGACAGCAAACTTCAAACGACAAATTGCGCGCTTGGGTAAACCCTCAAGAAAAACCATCGGTTGCTCAACATTGCCACTAAATTATGCACAACGGGCCTCTCGCGTCGCATGTCGAACTCATCCGAACGCCCTTGCACGCGTGGGGGGGGGCACGATCCGTGTCGAATAACACCACGCTGGCCACTCGCGCGTCGGCCGCGCGCCCATTTCGAACTCCGTCAAACACCTTCATCGCCGACGCGAGACCATCGTCATCGTTATGGGCGGGCATGATCAACATTGGCGCCGTCATTGGCCTTGCCATCATCATCGCCACCATCGTCACCATCATCGCTACCCTTATCATCGCGTTTCCCGTTTTCGGCGTCGCCGTGATACCGCGCCCGCACAAGTCACCGACTCGCACTGAAGTGACCGCTGGGAAGTGGGAAGTGCCCAGCAGTCAGCGCCACCGCGGCCGCGTCGGTCGCGTCATACTAGCTGGTCGCTGCGCGCGCGAGCATGCGCGGGCCAGCGCAGCCGCAGAGATGCACCAGCCAACGCCAAGCACTCATCACAATCGCCGTCGCATGCGTTTTGCTAACCAAGTTGCGGGTGGGTGGGCGGGATGATTGCGCGAGCAGTGGAGTTGTCTTGGTGAATTCTCCTTTCTTAAAAAAAAGAGAATACACTCTACCCCCCCCCCCCCAGCGTTATCGGCCCCTCTCTCGGGTATGTAAATCATGTATGATTCTGACCACATGTCCATCCGAAATATAAATTTACACTATCCCACGGGGGCTGGTATCGACCCCCTCTGAGGTTCCCTTGCAAAACCACCCAAAAAAAACCGATACGCGGGGACATCTGTTGTTCAAAATAACACTTTTCCACAGGACAAATTGCACACGCGCGCGCCGTCGCGCGCGCATGCCGAAATCCTCCAAAAACCTTCGGTCTCGGAAAGAACTCGCAATCGAGTTTCCAAAAAAACATGCAAAAACAAAGGGTTTCACAACACCGGTGCGCTAAAAAAACTTACGCGCGAGCTCTTGCGAAATCTTAAGAAAAAACATATGTTTCAAGATTTTCATTAAATGCTACTAAACGGGCTTCGCGCGCGCGCATGTCGAAATCTGTCGAACGCCCTTGCGCGTGTGCCGTCGCGAGAATCCTCTACAAAAAGGAACGGAGTGCAGACGCGCGCGTCGTCGCGCGCGTATGCCGAAATCCTTCAAAAAACAATCGGCTTCGGAAGGATTGCAACATCGTGTGTCCAAGAAACATACAAAAACACAAGATTTCGCAACACGGATTTTCAACAAAAGAGTGCGCGCGCGCTCTTGCGTCGTCGTCGTCGTCGTCGTCGCCGTCCTCCCTCCTCCAGCGTCGTCGTCGTCGCCTATGTTGTCCTCTGTTTTTCCTCGTGTTCGTCGTCGTCCTCTTTGGCGTCGTGGTCGTTTCCGTCGTCGTTGTCGCCGTGGTCGTCCTTCCTCCTCCTCCCTCGTCGTCGTCGTCGTCCGTCGTCGGCGTCTCGTCGTCGTCCCTCCTATTTCGTCGCCGTCGTCGTCGTCGTCGTGTCGTCGTCGTCTTCCCTCCTCCCTCGTCGTTGTCGTCGTCGGCGTCGCCGTCTTTCCTCCTTCTTCGTCGTTCGCGTCGTCGCCGTCCTCCCTCCTCCTCGTCGTTGTCGTCGTTGTCGCCGTCGTCGTCCTCCCTCCTCCCTCGTCGTCGTCTTCGTTGGCGACGTCGTCGTCGTCTTCGTCGTCGTCGGCGTCGGCGTCGTCGTCGTCCTCGTCGTCGTCGGCGTCGTCATCGTCGTCGTCGGCGTCGGCGTCGTCGTCGTTGTCATCGTCGTCGCCGTCGTCGGCGTCGACGTCGTCGTCGGCGTCGTCGTCGTCGTTGTCGGCGTCGTCGTTGTCGGCGTCGTCGAAGTCGTTGGAGACGTCGTCGGTGTCGTCGTAGTCGTTGTCGGCGTCGTCGTCGTCGTTGTCGCTGTCGTCGTCGGCGGCGCTGTCGCTGCCAAATGCCATGTGGTACCCACCGTCTCGGTCTCAAGAGATTTTTCAAACCAAGTTGCGGGTAGGTGGGTGGGATGATTGCGCGAGCAGTGGAGTTGACAACTTCAAGTTCGGCAAGTAAATTGCACAACACAGACGGCACCACATATAGATTGCACGGCATGGACTGCACAACATAGAAAGCACGACATACATTCTTCTTTTTAGATGAGAATATACTCTCCCCGCCCCCAGGAATTATCGATCCCTCTTTTCGTATTGCAATGTACATATGATTCTGCCCCCTCGTCCATCCGACCTGTGAATTCATACTATCCCTGCCAGGCGGGTATCGACCCCCCCCCCCGCCATCCTCTGCAAAAAACACTATGCGCGCACATTCGCTTATCACAAATCATAAGTTTTCAAAGGTCCATTGCAAAAATGCGACGAAGTGCACACGCGCGCGTCGTCGCGCGCGCATGCCGGAATGCTTCAAAAACCTTCGGTTTCGGAAGGCTTTGATATATATATATATATATATATATATATATAAACCCAAAAAGGAAAAACAAAAAAAAAAAAAAAAAAACGTACACGCGCGCTCCTGCCAAGTTTTAAGAAAACCATCGGCGTTTCAACATGTTCATAAAATACTACCAAACGGGCTTCGCGAGCGCGCATGTCGAAATCGTTCAATCGCCCTTGCGCACGTGCCGTCGCGAGGATCCTCAGCGAAAAAAGGGACGAAGAGCACGCGCGCGCGTCGTCGCGCGCGCATGCCGAAATCCTTCAAAAACCAATCGGTTTCGGAAGGATTTCTAAATCGAGTGCCCAAAAAAACATACAACAGCACAGGGCTTCGCAACACGGATGTTCAACAAAAGCGTGCGCGCGCGCTCTTGCATCATCGTCGTCGTCGTCGCCGCCGTCGTCCTCTGTTTTTCCTCGTCGTCGTCCTCTTTGGCGTCGTCGTCGTTTCCGTCGTCGTTGTCGCCGTGGTCGTCCTTCCTCCTCCCTCGTCGTCGTCGTCGTCCGTCGTCGGCGTCTCGTCGTCGTCCCTCCTATTTCGTCGCCGTCGTCGTCGTCGTCTTCCCTCCTCCCTCGTCGTTGCCGTCGTCGGCGTCGCCGTCCTCCCTCCTTCTTCGTCGTTCGCGTCGTCGCCGTCCTCCCTCCTCTCTCGTCGTGGTCGTCGTTGTCGCCGTCGTCCTCCCTCCTCCCTCCTCCCTCGTCGTCGTCGGCGTCGGCGAAGTCGTCGTCGTCGTCGTCTTCGTCGTCGTCTTCGTCGTCGTCGTCGGCATCTTCGTCGTCCTCGTCGTCGGCGTCGTCGTCGCCGTCGTCGTCGGCGTCGTCATCGTCGTCGTCGGCGTCGGCGTCATCGTCGTCGTCGTCGGTGTCGCCGTCATTGTCGTCGTCGTCGAAATCGTCGGAGACGTCGTCGATGTCGTCGTAGTTGTCGTCGGCGTCGTCGCCGTGGTCGTTGCCGCTGTCGTCGTCGGCGTCGCTGGCACTGCCCAGTGCCATTTGGTACCCACCGTCACGGTCTGAAGAAGTTTTGCGACCAAGTTGCGGGTGGGAGGGTGGGATGATTGCACGAGCAGTGGAAAGAGCAGCTTCAAGACAGTCAAAGTGAATTCTCCTTTCTAAAAGGAGAATAGACTCTACCCCCCCCGCCGGACTTATCCGTTCCCCTTTTCGGGTATGTAAATCATTTATGATTCTGACCACTCGTCCATCCTAAATATGAGAAACCAGATCATCCCAGCCAGGCCGGGTTCCCCCCCTGAGGTTCCCTTGTATATATATATATATATATGAAATAAAAAAGAAGAGAAAAACAATAAAACATAAAAAAAACAAACAAAAAAAAAAATGCGGTGACATTGTTTGTTCTAACATAACACTTGTTCACGAATCCCTTTGCAAAGAATGGGACGAAATACACACGCGCGCGTCGTCGCGCGCGCATGCCGGAATCCTTCAAAAGCCTTCGGTGCCGGGAGGATTTCGCAATCGAGTTTCCAGAAAGACATACAAAAAACATATTTCGCAACACTGATTTGCTAAAAAAAGCTTACGCGCGAGCTCTTGCGAAATCTTAGGAAAACCATAGGTTTTCCAAGATTTTCATAAAATGCTACCAAACGGGTTTCGCGCGCGCGCATGTCGAAATCTGTCGACCGCCCTTGCGCGTGTGCCGTCGCGAGGATCCTCAGCAACAAATAGGACGAAGTGCAGACGCGCGCGTCGTCGTGGGCGTATGCCGAAAACCTTCAAAACACATCGGTTTCGGAAGGATTTCAAAATCGTGCGTCCAAAAAACCTACAAAAACCTAAGGTTTCGCAACACGGATGTTCAACAAAAGCGTGCGCGCGCGTTCTTGCGTCGTCGTCGTCGTCGTCGTCGCCGTCCTCCCTCCTCCCGCGTCGTCGTCGTCGTCGCCTACGTCGTCCTCTGTCTTTTCTCGTGTTCGTCGTCGTCGTCCTCTTTGGCGTCGTGGTCGTTTCCGTCGTCGTTGTCGCCGTGGTCGTCCGTCCTCCTCTTCCCACGTCGTCGTCGTCCGTCGTCGGCGTCTCGTCGTCGGTTCTATTTCGTCACCGTCGTCGTCGCCGTTGTCGTCGTCGTCTTCCCTCCTCCCTCGTCGTTGTCGTCGTCGGCGTCGCCGTCCTTCCCCTTTCGTCGTCGGTCGCGTCGTCGCCGTCCTCCCTCCTCCCTCGTCGTTGTCGTCGTTGTCGTCGTTGTCGCCATCGTCGTCCTTCCTCCTCCCTCGTCGTCGTCTTCGTTGGCGTCGTCGTCGTTGTCTTCGTCGTCGTCGGCGTCGGCGTCGTTGTCGTCGTCGAAGTCGTCGGAGACGTCGTCGCTGTCGTCGTCGTCGTCGTTGTCGTCGGTGTCGTCGTAGTCGGTCTTAAGAGGTTTTGCAAACCAAGTTGCGGGTGGGAGGGTGGGATGTTTGCGCGAGCAGTGGAGAGGACAGCTTCAAGTTGAGCAAGTGATTAGTTGCACCACGTAGATTGCACCGCCTACATGGTACAACAAAAGCTGATCTACCTTAGTTAGATTGCACTAAGTAAACTGCATCACATAGATTGTCCAACATAGACTGCAGTTCGCAGACTGCACAACCAATACTGCACAACATACTTTGCACCACAGGGGTTGCACCACTTGGTTTGCCCCACAAAGGTTGCACCGCATAGATTACTCCACATGAAAAGATCCACATAGATTGCTTGAAACTCACAGTTGGGGGGCCACGTTGGTTCACATCCTTTGTGAGCGAGATTACACGTGCAGTCTCAGGTCAATGTGCGCGCTAGCCTACTGCAAAGCGCATTGAGACAAGAAGTGCCGTATCTCACCCACGCACGTGAAGCGATAACAACATACACTCGCACAAACGAATATGCTGACGCTGGCGGCAGCAACAAGACGGCAGCGAGTGACAGTAAAGAACTTGCCCCGTTTCATATCCCCATGCAATCAACATCACCCCGAGAGGCTCCCACAAGGCCCGCATATATCCTATAGAGGCATACGAAAGACCCCCCAAAGGCCACGAAGAGGCCCCAAGCGCCCCCGCGAAAAGTCGCCGAGACCCGAGAGCCTCCGAGAAGCACCCCAAGAGACCCCAGCAGCCATCCAAGAGGCGTCTGGCACAAAACCTTTCAGGATGGTCCGAAGGCCACACCAGATATGGTGTGCCCCTTTATGGCTTCTCGCCCCACTGACCCCGCATGCTGCGCGTTCCGCTGGGTGCTTGGGCCCCTCTGGCTTGGACCCCTTTTGTTTTCCGCTCCACCAGCCCTGCGCGCCGCATTTTGCCGAACCTCCCGTGGCAACTTAAATCCCTCCCGTGGGCTCCACACTAAGGATTACACACATAGCGCTCCACTCAGCCAGGGTTCCACATATCTGCCCCCACCATCCACACACAGGGTTCCATACATGACACACATAGGGTTCACCCACAGGGCTTCACACACAATGCTACACTAATCAACTACTTGGGGTCGACGCGCGGGCATCATTCACCACAATACGTTGGTCCACACGCTGGTCCCACCATACTAGCCTGGGCGGTCAATTGACCAATTTGCAACATACTCAAACCCTCACCAATCACAAAGCGTTTGCATGTGTCGGGCGTTCAGGGGGTGCCCAAGGGGGCAGAGGAAACAGGCATCATTCTCTCCCTCCTTCCTGTTCCTCTCCCAGAACCAAGTTCAGACAAATCCGTTGTCGAAAGAGTGCGCCATCAACATCCAAAAGTCGGGATGTAACCATGCAAAGAACAAGCGCCACCAAAGTGTGCATTCAAGTTTGACTCTGTCGCTCCAAACAATCTGAGGCCCCAGCCATGGCCCAAACACCGTGGGGGGGGGGGAAACACAAAGATTTGGGGCGCTTATCGAGGGCGGCCAGGGTGTTCCTTCGCCAATCGGAAAGTCAGTGTGGGTCTCGAGAGCCACACGGGTGGCCAAAGCGCGCTGGGAAATTTCGAGACGAGCCCGCGCGATCCAAGCCGATTCTAGGCCCACAAGCCAAGCCGCGCTTAACCTTCCCTGGACAGCGCCCTTGAAGCGCATGATGATGTCCGAGTGAACGCGTCAATACACGCTCTGATCACTTCTGCGTTCGCATGTTCAGGGCGGGGCGATGAGCAGGACAGCATCACCCAACGGAAGCAGTGTCTGCAACACCATGCCATCCTTGCACCTGCAACGAGCGGGTGTTCCGTGATGTGCAAGACGGGCGCTGCTGTTTGATGTCTGCTCTTATTCCTCCCGCTCCTCTTGCTCCTCAAGCTCCTCCTCCAGCTTCTTTCCCCCCCTAGCTGTTCCTCTGGATCCTGCTCATGCTCCGTCTCGCCTTCATCCCCTCTCCTCCAGCGAGGCTCTGCTCGATGCCAACTCCCCCCCTCCGTCCGCAAGTTTCGTAGGTACCTCGACCGTCCACTTCAAGGTCCGAATGGGTCCCTGCCGCACGGCGACACTGTTCTCCAAGTTGCCCTGGCGATGAGATCCAGGCGCTGCAGCAGAACAGCAGCCGCTCGTGCAATCTGTGAACAGTTGGGAGGACGAGGAGGAAAAAGGCGAGGGGGGAGTCCAGGAGGACGCGGGCCAGATTCTGCAACTCCGGCACGGGTTCAGAACTCGAAGGTGCCTGCAGCTGAGTGTCCGACATCCCAGCGCCAATTGGGCCCGCAGGGGTAGGGTTCGCAAGTGGTCGCAGAAAGAGGCGGGAGACTTGGCAGGAGAGAGGCGAGGGAGGATGAGGGGGAATAACAGGGGACTGGCTCAGAGGCGGAAACGTCGACCTGGAATAGGCGATACACAGCCAACTGATCGGCGATAGGCTCTAACTGGAAGTTCCTGGGCGGGGTGACTATCAGGCCCGCATCAGCGATGTATGGGCGATTCGGAGTCGATGCACCCCCCCCAGAGCCGAGCGCGAGACTGCTTCAGCGTCGTGGTCGGGTGCGCTCCTGGAGGTAGACGAGGCGAGATGAAGGGGCACAGCGTGCATTCGGGTTGACGCCGACGTGGCGTTCGGTGAAAGTACACAGACGACGACGACGACGACGAGGATTCGGCACGACTGGCCCTGGCGGGCGGGCCACGCCAGACGGCCGGGCCCGGAAGCGCTCCGCGTCTACTCGTCACGGATAGCCCGTGTCTGCAGAGCTCCTCGCTTCGGCCGAAGATTCGGCCAAACGGATCCGCCGACCCCTTCTGGGTCTCTAGGCGTGTGAGATTCTTCCCCCCTCCCAGCAATCCCCGCCCACGGCCTCGAGACCAGAAAATTGACCCACCCTACACAGGCCTCGTACGACCCCCGGCCGAACTCATCAAGGGTGGGGTCCTGCCCTCTACGGCTGTCCCCGGGACGCTCGTGCTGCCCCAGAACGGCTCCGGAAAGCTCCAAGACGACTTCGAAGACATCCTGACACCTCGCTTCGGCCGAGGCTTCGGCCAGGCAGGTCTGGAAGCCGTCACATCCAGTGCTGTGAGCCTCGTTGTTGCGCACTGCGTTCTCATCATTGCGGGGGGGCGAGCGAGCGACGCGGCGGGGCTTTTCGTGCAGACCCGGCCCCCCGTGTCGGAGGGCGCAGCATTGCCATCGTCATCGCTTGGGCACTGCCAGTACGACGAAAAAGAGGTTTGGCCGTAGTCTGTGCGCGCGAAGCGAAGATCACTGGTTGTGGGTTCCAGCGAGGCTCGCAGCCGCAGGGGGGGGCGGGACAAGGAGCGGGGAGAGGTGTGATCGAAGATGCAGGGGAGAAGGGGATGGGGAGTGGCAGGAAGAGGGAGTGTGTGGAGAAATAGTGGGCCAAAGAGAAAGTGGAGAGGGGAGGGACAAGGGATGAGAAATGCGGAAGGAGGACAGGAAATAAGGGAGGAACGTATGGGAAGGAGGGCAAAGGAACAGGCAATGAGGGAGGGAAGGACAGAGGAACGGTGGTAGCAGGCAAGCTGGCAGAGAGGGAGGGCGGCAGCAATACAACATAAAGAAGAGGACGAAGAAGAAGCGGGAAAAGGAGAAGGGGCAGCTGCGAATCATGATCTAGCGGGACATGATAGGCTCCTTGTCCAGGGGCAGGTCGAGTGCCAGCTCCACTCCCCCAAGATACTCCACAAAGAAGTCTTCATGGGTGTGCTGCCTCTTGAACAAGTGGTCGTTGCCCCACTGCTTTATGTTCTGAGCAGGTAATTGGGTGGGCCCGTACTATCGCCGTCATCGACTTTGCCGTGATCATCAGCATCATCATCAGCATCATCAGCATCATCATCAGCAGCATCATCCTCATCCTCACCCTCATCGTCATGCTCATGGTAATCCTTATTATCATCCTCATCCCCATCCTCAGCCTCATCATCAGCCTGATAATCACCAACAACAATGGAATCATCAGCAGCAGCAACATCAGCAGCAGCAACCGCAACATCATTATCATCATTAGCATGTATCAACGTCAGCATCAGAATCATTTGCATGATCATTAGCATTAGCGTTAACATCATCAGCAGCATCATCCTTATCATGGTCATCGTCTCAACGTCGTCGTCACCACCACCATCAATAATCAGCATCATCACCATCACCACCGTCACTATCATCAGCATCAACATCATCAGCATCATCAGCATCATCAGCAGCAGCATCGCCAGCAGCATTATCATCATGATCATCATCAGCATCATCATCACCATCAGCATCATGATCATCAGCATCATCATCATCACCATCATAATCAGCATAATCATCAGCATCAGCATCAGCATCATCATCACCATCATCATACTCGTCATCGTCATCGTCATCAGCATAATCAGCAGCATCAGCATTATCAGCATCATCGTCGACATCAGCATGATCGCATCAATAGAATATTCATCATCGTTATCATCATCAGCATCAGCATCAGCATCATCATCATCAGCATCATCATTACCATCAGTATCAGCATCGCTAGTATCGTCCGAGTTGTCATCAGAAGCGGCGTCATCGTCGTCATCACCACCATCAATAATCAGCATCCTCACCATCACCACCGTCACCATCATCATCATCATCATCATCATCATCATCAGCAGCATCGGCAGCATCAGCATCATCATCATCACCGCCAGCATCATCATCATCATCATCAGCATCAGCATCAGCAGCATGATCACCATCACCAGCATCATCATGATCATCAGCAGCAGCATCAGCAGCAGCATCATCAGCAGCATCATCAGCAGCATCAGTATCCTCAGCATCATCATCCTCAGCATCAGCATCAGCATCATCATCAGCATCAGCATTATCATCAACATCAGCATCAGCGTCATCATCATCATCATCAGCAGCCGCATCATCATCGTTATCATCATCATCAGTATCAGCAGCATCATCACCATCACCAGCATCGTCATGATCATCAGCAGCAGCATCATCAGCATCAGCATCATCAGCAGCATCAGCATCCTCGGCATCATCATCCTCAGCATCAACATCAGCATCATTGTCATCAGCATCAGCATCATCATCAACATCAGCATCAGCGTCATCATCAGCAGCATCATCATCATCGGCATCGTCGTCATCGGCATCGTCAGCAGCATCAGCATCATCAGCAACATCAGCAGCATCGTCAGTATCATCATCATCATCATCATCATCATCATCATCATCAATGTCATCGTCATCATCAGCATCGTCATCATCATCATCATCATCATCATCATCATCATCATCATCATCATCATCATCATCATTACCATCAACATCATCATCGTCAATGTCATCCGAGGTATCATCAGAATCGGCGTCATCGTCATCGTCGTCATCCTCATCGTCGTCGCCGACGCCATCGTCAACGTCGTCATCAGTGACTGGCACTGGTCCACGCCATGCTCGGCAGAGAAATGCTGCTGCTGCACGCCGCTGCTGGCACGTAGGGCAGGTCAGTCGTCGACGGCGATTGCCAGGCGCTCGGCTCCGACGTGAGCGCGCCACACAGCACCGCGACGCGCGCGGGCTGGGCCACGACGCCGAGCTCGACGGGGGCTGCCAGGCATCGGCGAGGGCGAGGGTTCGCGGACGATGCCAGCGCGCAGGGCTTCGACGAGGTCGTCGGCGGGGTGGACCCAAGGCGAGGTCGAGAGCGCGGGCGAAGATATGGGCAAGATCCACACGCGCGGCGACGGTGCGCTCGGGCTGGACGGGCGCACTGGGCCCTTCGCAGGCTGCAAAGTGGCTGAGCTTCTACGAGGACGTTGGCATCGTCTTCGACCTTCCCAGGTCGCCTCGGTGGAATGCGAATCGTGCGAGGACGCGGTCGCCAGCAGAGGCGGGACCAGCACGTCTGGCGAAGCGCTCTGGGGCCCGGCGAGCGGGCCAGACTCGGCGCGAGATCCCAGGCGCCGCTGGCCTTCGACGTCGGCGGTTGGACCACGAAGAAGACGTCGAGCAGCGAGGCTCGGCGGCGCGCACAGCGGGGGGGCGCGACGGCAGGGGCCTGCTGATAAGAAGACGGGGGGCGTCTTCGACAGCGGTGGCCTGTTCAGGAGGGGCTGGAAGCTTCAAAGAGGGCTGTGCGCCACGAACGTCAGGGGTGCGAAAGGCCGAACGGTCATTCACTGTCCCTGGGTGCGTGGCCGAAGTGGGCTTACGCGGTGCGGACTGTTGTTGTGGTTGCTGCTGCTGCTGCTGCTGCTGCTGCTGCTGCTGTTGCCGCTGTTGCTTATGTTGTTGTTGGTGGTGTTACTGTTGGTGTTGCTGCTGTTGATGCTGGCGGTGTTGCTGTTGTTGGTGTGGTTGTTGCTGTTGTTGTTGCTGCTGTTGTTGGTGCTGTTGTTGTTGAATTCGTGTTGTTGTTGGATTCACAATTCTAAAGAATCGGAGGTGAGGGGGTGAGATCGAAGTGGAACGGAGAGCCCCCCTACCGGGAAATCGATTTCGGTTTCGTGTTCGTGCATGCCGTGCGTGCGGGCGAGGCGAAGCTGCGTGGGCGGGCGAAAGAAAGTCTCCTGTGGCTGAGGCGCGGCCGGACCAAATGTCTCCCTTCCGGGCGGCCGGGGGCCCGCGGTGTCCCGCAAGTGTCCCGCTGGTGTCCCGTGTGGCTGAGGCGCGGCCGGACCAAATGTCTCCCTTCCGGGCGGCCGGGGGCCCGCGGTGTCCCGCCGGTGTCCCGCTGGTGTCCCGCGTGGCTGAGGCGCGGCCGGACGAAATGATTCCCTTCCGGGCGGCCGGGGCCCCGCGGTGTCCCGCCGGTGTCCCGCTGGACGATGTTGATGTTTTGTTTTGATGATCGATAGTGAGATCGGTAGTGATATCGATTGTGAAATCGAGCGTGAAATCGAATGTCAGATCGCTTGTGAGATCGCTTGTGAGATCGATTGTGATACCGAATGTGAGATCGATAATGAGATCGATAGTGAGATCGATTGTGAAACCGAATGGGATATCGATTGTGAGATCGATTGTGAGACCGAATGTGAGATCGATTGTGGATTCTATTGTGAGATCGATAGTCAGATCGATTGTGAGATCGATCGATTGAGTTAGTGGTGAGATCACGATCGGTAATGAGATCGGTAGTGATTTCGATAATGAGATCGATGATGAGATCGAGTGTGAGTTCGGTTGTGATATCGATAATGAGATCGATAGTGAGATCGATAATGAGATCGAAAGTGTGTTCGATAGTGAGATCGATAATGAGGCCGAATGCGAGATCGATTGTGAGATCGATTGTGATATCGATAGTGAGATCGATAGTGAGACCGAATGTGAGATCGATAATGAGATCGATAGTGAGTTTGATCATGTAATCGATAGTCAGAACGAATGCGAGATCGATTGTGATATCGATTGTGAGATCAAGAGCGAGACGAGAGTAAGATCCATTGTGAAATCCAGGTGATCCAAGAGCGAGACAAGAGACGAGGTGATTATCGAGTGTAAGATCCATTGTGGGATCGATTGTGAGATTGATTGTGGGATCGATAGTCAGATCGATTGTGAGATCTATCGATTGAGATCGATTGTGAGATCGGTAGTGAGTTCGATTGTGAAATCAATCGAGTGCGACGTTGGTCCCTCCCCCCCCCCTCACCTCCTTATCACCCGAAGGGTGGTCTATGCGGTAATTACTGTTGATCCCCTCTCTGGTAATCATTGCATGCTTGTTAATTGAAGTGCTCCTCCAAGGGCTCCCACCTTGGCTTCTACAAAAGAACATGAAACGTCACCAAACTGGGCCCCTGGCCCCCGGATTACAATAACAACAACAACAACAACAACAACAACAACAATTATTCTGTCTGTTCGCCCTTATATGCTCGAGTGTCCAATAACGCATATTTCCCAAACCCTCGATACCCGCCCTCTTCGTCTTCGATCGAACCCCTTTTGGGGGGTATACTTTTCTTCCCTGCAGGCCGGGCCCCGGCAAGCGGCGGGGCGGCCGCGGACCGTCGGCCTGGCCTGGCCAGCTGCAGCGCTGATCGGCGGGGCGGCCGCGGACCGTCGACCCGACCCCAAGAGGGACGGACAGGGGACCGACCACGACGACGACGACGACGACGACGACAACGTCGAAGACGACGGCGACGACGAGCGAAAGCGAGAGCGGGGGCCACGAAGTGCAGATAATGCGAGGCCACAGAAGGCAACTACGGGGCCACTGAGGGTAGCAACTGGGCCTCGTAGGACATTGAGGGGGACACAAATGGCGACACCGGGGCCACGAAGGGCATGCACATGGGGCCACAAAGGGCGCGACTCCTGGGTGCCTGGGTGTCGGGAGCGCGGCGCTTGGGCAAATTGCAGGAAATTCCAACGCAAGGCTATTCTTCAGTAACTTGCAAGCAAGTCTCCAGCGAGAGCGCGACTCCAGAGGGCCGGGAGAGCGATTCCTGAATAAATTGTAAGGAAGTCCCAAGCGAGAGCGCGATTCCTGAATAAAATGCGAGGAAGTAAGTCTCGGGCGGGAGCGGGGGTCCTGCCTAAATTGTAAGGAAGTCTCTGGCGGGAGCCGTTGTTGTTGTTGTAACCCGGGGGCCAGGGGGCCAGTTTGAGCAGGAAGACTTTCCGTCAAAAAACAGGGTGCGAGCGTCGAGGGGCACACTTTGATTGAGAAATAGCAGTAGCACCGGTGGGGGGGATCAACAATAATTATTCTTCAGAAATAAAAATTCAACAACAACAGCTCCCGCTGGATAGTTCCTCACTATGCATTCCCAAATCGCGCTCTCGCGCGGGACTTCATCACAATGTATACAGGAATCGCGCTCTCGCGTGGGACCTCCTCGCAATTCATTCAGACGCCGCGCCCCCGACACTCAGGAATCACGCTCTGGCTGTGGATTGCCTCACGATTACTTGGGAATCGCGCCATCGTTCGAGACTTCCTCGCGAATCATGCAAGACGCACGCTTCAGCATCCCGCCTGCTCGACCTGGCTGCCTGGGCCGGCCATCCCGACCCGCCCGCCAGGGTCTATCCGCCCGATCTGCCCGTCTGGTTCTGCCACATGTTTTCTGCTCCTAGCCCCCCTGCTGCTACTGTCTCTTGTGCTCCATGCTCGTGCCTCCCCCTTGTCGTGTCCTTCCATCCGTCCTCTTTTCCCCTGCCTTAGAGGCTGCGCGAAATACACGTTGCAGATAAGAAAGATACACCCTCAAGGGGATACGATCGAAGACGAAGGGGGCAGGTATCGAGGGTTTGGGAAAGATGTGTTGAATGGCACGCGAGCAGATAACAGCGAACAGCCTTAAAATGCGTGTTTTTGCTGTTGAAACTGGTGTCGTTATTGGCGTTGGTGTTGTTGTTGCTGGTGTTGCTGCTGCTGATGTTGTTGGTGTTGTCGTTGTGGTGTTGTTGGTGCTGTTGTTGTTGGTGTTGCTGTTGTTGCTGTTGTTGTTGTTCTTGTTGTTGGTGGTGTTGTATGTTGTAGTCGTCCCGACCGCGACCCGGCCCGTGACCCACCCCGGACCACCCCGCGACCCACCCGCGACCCACCCGCGAACCACTGGCGACCCACCCGCGACCCGCCCGCGACCCGCCCGCGACCTACCCGCGACCCACCCGAAACCCACCCGCGACCCATCCGCGACCCAACCGCGACCCACCCGCGGCCCAACCGCGACCCACCCGCGAACCCACCCGCGACCCACCCAGCGACCCACCCGCGACCCACCCCGCTACTCGCCCACGACCCACCCCGCGACCCACCCCGCGCCCGCCCCAACTCTTATCCGCAACTGCGGGATGCTTCCATCTATACACGAACACTCTCCGACGAACTCTGCCTGAAGTGCCTGACGCAAGGGTGGCGGTGTATAAAACTGCTGCCTCTCAGTGGTGATTCATACACCCCCACCCTCCCCCGAGGCCCAGGAACAATCCACTGGAGGGCCCCTGCATATACATATATAATATATGTGTATATATAGATATACACATATATATATATATATACATTTATATATATATATACATATATATATATATGGATCACTGTGGCGGATACTCAGAAGCTGGGAGGGCCAGTAAGAACCCCCCCTGCCTCACCAGAAGCTCCCCCGCCGTCTCTCGGCGACGAGCCCCGGGGGGAAAGTGAGAAGGAGAAGGCCTTTTCGGAAGGCTCGGAATTTCCCTGGCCTTCTGCAAAGTGTTCTAAGCCTCACCCAAAGACACCACAGAACCTCTCAGAAGGCGCGAGGGCTTCTGAGAAGCCCCGCCGCCCTCTGAGAAGGCCTTCTCATTCTCGTTTCCCCCCCCCGCTCGCCGCCGACCTGAGGGGGCAGGTCCTGGAGAGGAGGAGGAGGAGGAGGAGGAGGAGGAGGGGGAGGAGGGGGAGAAGGAGGAGGAGGAGGAGGAGGAGAGAGGGGAGGAGGAGGAGGAAGGGGAGGAGGAAGATGAGGAGGAGGAGGGGGAGGAGGAGGAGGAGGAGGAGGGAGAGGAAGAGGAGAGGAGAGGGAAAGAGGAAGAGGAAGGGAGAGAAGAGGAAGGGAAGCGGAAGAGGAAGAGGAGGAGTAGGAGGAAGAGGAGGAGAGGAAGGGGGAAGGAGGAGGGAGGAGGAGGGAGGAGGAGGAGGAGGAAAAGGAGGAGGACGACGAGGACACGAGCAGCGAGAGGGGGGAAGGCACGACGAGCCGACAGGGGAGAGGTCGTCAGGCTCCGTGGGCTCCTGGGCGACCCGCAGGGCGCGCGCACGCGCTGGGGACCTCGGCGTCGGCTTTTGCTGGCGGGTGCAGGGGGAGGCGCAGGCGGGGCTTGGGGGGTGGGGGGTGGGGGTGGCGAGGTGGGGGTAGGGGGGGGTGGGGGGGGGGTCCAGTGCCGCCGACGTGCTGCCGCCAAGGCGAACTCGCGCGGCCGCAGCAGGGCTCAAGGGCGCCGACACTTGTTCTCTGTCGGGTCAAAGTCCTGAACGGCGCGGCCCTTGGCCATCAGTGAGAGGCCGTGTCGGAGTGCTGGATCTGCCTCGCTTCTGCGGCAGCGCGAGCCCCAGTTCCGCGGCGCATGGAGCGGAGCATGCTGTGCCCAGTAGCATGCGGCATATGGCCCGGGAGGCCCGCTGACACTCCTGAGGCATGTGCAGGGCACTCTCCTCGGGTAGCTTGCTGGCGAATGTTGTCACCATCGAAAGCAAAATCGGAGTTGGCATCGCCACCACAAACACCAACACTACAGTAGCATCACCATGCCACCTCATACTCCCATTATTCCCCATCCGTTTGCAACCTTTTTCTGCCGCATCCCAGTCAGCAAACGTCGCCACGCAGCACGTGACGTCTGGCAAAAACCATTCCTTTCCCACATGTTCCAAAGCCATGCGCGACACAACGAATGCTGCTCGCACTGCTTTGATCAGCGGCGAGCTGGATACAACAGGCGGTCGGCTACTTGTGGGGCGCGTCGGAAGCGAAGAGGGCACAGTGGAAAGAGGGGACGCGCGAAGCGAGGGCGGCCGACGAGGCCGAAAAGTTGATGGGGCCACATTCGTCAGGCCATGTAAATCACCGTGCGCACGCCGAGGCGAAAACTCTCTGCAAGTGCAGGGCGATCACGAAGGCGGGGGCCGCACGTGAAGCCGTGGGGAGTCGCGGCAAGGGCGAGGGAAAGACCAGCGTCGTCAATCAGCTCGCAGCAAATTCAGGCGTGAGCGTCCCCGCAAAACTGCTCGCACAATCGCTGCTGCCATTCCCGCTGCAGCATCCCGGCAGTTTCTCTCCTGAGCCTCACCGCGCTGACTACTCTCGCTCTTCCCCGTCTGCGTGGAGGCGAGAGCACTGGTGACGAGGACGGGCCGCGGGGACAGACTCGATGCTTTGGGAGAGAGGGTGCCGTAAACAAAAAGCTGGAGGGGGACAGGGACGTGGGACGGCGGCGGGGGCGGGAAGAGGCACAGAGGGGGACAAGGATGGGGAGGGGAAAGGGGGGGCGGGGGGGGAGGGGGGAGTGAGGGGGCAGACACAAGAAGGAGGGGAGATAGCGATACGGGGAGACAAAGATATATGCGAAGCGGCAAAACACGAAGGCACGGAGGCACTGAGAGACGGAGAAAGCAGTGGTGAGATGGAAACAAGCAGCGACGAAGACACAAGAGTAAGGATGAGAGGGAGGAAGACAGCGTCGACAAAAAAAAAGATGTCAACACAGAGACAACGAGGAGGCCGGCTCCTCGAACATGGCGCTGATCCGATCCCGAACAGGCGCCTCACGCACACCAGCGGGCATGTCGGACATTACTCGTCTTCCCCGCAGCCCTGCCAAGTGAGGATCCACTGCTCGAACATCCTCGCCCACAGGCTGCAAACAAGCCCGAGAAGCAAGCGCGAGACTGAGCAAGACGGAGAAGATTTGCCACCGAGAGCGGGACACTGACTGCGTGTGTGTGCGCGTGTGTGGGAGTCCTGGGGTGGTCGTCCTGGGTTGGTCCCGGGAGACGCTTTTCAATTCAAAGCTTTCCCCTCTTTCCCTGCGGCCACCTGGGGCTCTCCAAGATCGCCAGACCGAAGTGAATCGACCCTGGTCGTGATCGAGTCTAACGAAACTCACTTCCCTTTGATCCCTTCCTCGCTGGGGAGTGGGGGCTCCTTGGGGGGGTCCCAGGGGTGGTCCAGGGGAGGGGGGGTGGGGTTGGAACAGTTTGGCCGTCGTTGCGCCCCGAAGGCCAGCTAGAGCCCTCTTGCGACCAACATCAGCGCTCTTGGGAACCTCTCGGGCCGTCACGGAGACCCCTGGGGGGCCCGGCCCAGGAGGCCTGAATCTGCTGGATCCTTTGGGCTTCTGCGCGAGTTCTGCACTCTCGCCGAATCGGAGCGTCCGAGACGGACCAAGAAGCCCCAAAGACCGACCCACGGTGGCCCAGGAGGCCCCCACGAGGGGCCCCTGAGGCCCCCAGGACGGCCCCAAGAGGGGGGAAAAAAAAGCACGCTGCCTCCGCGCCGCTAGAAGCCGACCTCCCAAACATGATCCCAAGACCCCCAAGAGGCCTCCAAGACACCAAGACGCGCACCCAAGTAAGCCACAGAGGCCAACAGGATCACCCCACGAAGCCCTCCAAGGGACCCCAAAACAGCCCCACAGCTTCTGAAACACAACCCAAGCGCAGCGTCGGGATGGGCCGACGGCCACTAGAGTTCAACCCTCCCATGAAAGCCGTCACTGCCCCTTGTATTCGTCCCCCCTCCGTACCCCCATCCCAAGCGGCGCGGCCTAGGCCCCACTGGCCGATTTACCCCCCTAGATGGGGACATAGGCCGTTCCCTTCGGGTTTCAAGGGCCGTATCCCCAACTGGGGGGGCAATTTGGCGGGGGCCTCGAAGGGGATGGGGATGGGACGGGGATCTGTTAAAAACTACCGAAAGGCGTGCCCCCAGGGGCCGCTGCCTCCATCGCAGGAATGGCCGCGAGGCTCATCCAGCGAGGCCGGCGGTGGCTGCGTGCGTGACGTCTGCGCCTACGTTTAGGTCGGGCGTATCCTCCTACAGGCGGATCTTGCACGAAAAATCAAAAGTAGTCCGAAAATACTCACAAATAAACAAAGGTAGTCGAAAAAACGTCCCCAGGCTATCGGGGTCGGGTATCCCCACCACTTATGATCCCGAAGCTTCAAACTCGGAACAGCTTCGAGGATGGAGGGCGGGCCGTTTTCAAAATGTGGCTCTCGCCTTAGCGCCGCGCACAGAAGTTCTACAAGTTTGTAGCAGCTTTAAGGATGGAGGGCGGCTGCTGTTCAAAATCCCCCCAGCCCTCTGGGCGTCGGTGGTCTAGAGAGTCCCACCAGCCCTCTGGGCGTCGGTGGTTTAAGGAGTTTCCTCTTCCACCCCTCCCTCTTCCCCTTCGGGGAGGGGTTTACCCATCCCCCTTACCCCCTCCCCACTGACCTGGACAGGGGGTTCCGCGGCGCGTTGGAGCGCCCAAGATCGACCCCTGGGAGGGCTAAAATTCGACACCCCTCACGAGGATCGTGGCTCCTGAGGGGGGGGCTGAAATTTAGGAACCCCTCTTCTTTGATCGATTTCCTCCACGATGGCCGCAAGAGGCCCCCAGGATGCCCCAAGAGGCCGCAGGATGGCCCCAAGATGGCCCCAAGAGGCCCCCCAAGAGGCCCCCAGGAGGCCCCCAAGAGACCCCCAAGAGGCCCCAAGAGACCCCCCAGAGGCACCCAAGGTGCTCCCAGAGGCCCCAAGATGGCCCCAAGTGGCCCCAAGAGGCCCCCAGGAGGCCCCAAAGAGGATTCCGAACGGCCCACAGAGGCCCCCCCGAGGCACCCAAGACGCCGAAAAGCCCCTCAGGACGACCCTCTACTCGCCTGGGCGTCGTTTCTGAACGGGCTGGTGGGGATACGCGAAGCGTCTAGAATTTCCTATTCCAACCCCCTTCTTCCCCTTCGGGGAGGGGTTTACCCCTCCCCCTACCCCCTCCCCTGGACCTGGACGGGGGGTTCCGCGGGTCGTTGGGGCGTCCAAGATGGCCCAAGACGGCTCCAAGAGCGAAAAAGGCCAGAAAGCAAAAAAACATGGATTTCCCTAGGTGTTGGAAGGATTTTGGCCTCTTCTGGGGCCCAAGAGGCGATTCGAGGCACTCTAGAGGGGCAACGCAAATTGGCCACCCCCCATTCTTTGATAGATCTCCTCCAACATGGCCCCAAGAGCGCCCCGAAGGCTCCCAAGAGCGCCCCAAGAGCGCCCCAAGAGGGCCCCAAGAGGCCCCAAGAGGCGCCCAAGAGGCCTCCAAGAGGCTCCCAAAAGACCCCCAAGAGGCTCCAAGAGGCTCCCCGAGATACGCAAGAGGCCCCCGGGACCGCCAAGAGGCCCCAAAGACGGCCCAAGAGGCCCCCAAGCTCGCCATTGTCCTCCTCCTCCTCCTCCTCCTCCTCCTCCTCCTCCTCCCCCTCCTCCCCTCCTCCTCTCCTCCTCCTCCTCCTCCTCCGTCCTCCTCGTCCTCCTCCTTCCCCTCCTCCTCCTCCTCCTCCTCCTCCTCCTCCTCCTCTCCTCCTCCTCCTCCTCCTCCTCCCCTCTCCTTTTTCTTCCTCCTCCCTCCTCCCCCTCCCTCTCCTCCTCCTCCTCCTCCTCCTCCTCCTCCTTCTCCTTATCCTCCTTCTCGTCCTCCACGTCCTCGCCCTCCTCCATCTCCTCCTCCTCATCTTCCTCCTCCTCCTCCTCTCCTCCTCCTCCTCCTCCTCCCCCTCCTCCTCCTGCTCCTCCTCCTGCTCCTCCTCTTCCTCCTCCTACTCCGACGACGACGACTCCTCCTACATCCTCCCCCTCTTGGGGTATATGGCGGCTTACCCCGCCCTTTGTTCTTCTGCATGCTCCCCCGCTTCCCTCATCACCTCCACTCCCCTGGGACTCATTTCTGGACGGGCTGGTGGGGATACGCGAAGCGTTTAGAAATTTGGCTATCGCCTTAGCGCCGTGCACATTAGTCTTAAAAGTTGGCAGCAGTTTGAAGGACTCGCAAGTTTGAAGTCACAAATGGAATTCAGGATTACCGGGACGCAGCCGTCACGTTGATTCGCAGTGTTGAGAAGTCCTAGGAGTGGAGTCCTGACAAGCTAGGATTGTCAGGACGCAACAGCCACGTTTTGGAATAGCAGGAATGGTGTATTGGCACAGTTCAGGATTCTCATACGATTGTCTTCAAAAGGGGCACTTTACGCGATGAAAGTAACTCATTGCAATGGCCTACGAAGATGGAACTTGGAGGGAGGGGCGAATGCAACATCGTTGATACGTAGAGGGTTCACACTGGTCCTCAACCTCCTCCTCCTCCTCCTCCTCCTCCTCCTCCCAGCCCTCTGACCTCCTCTTCCTGTTCCATCAACTCGTTTTCCTCCTTCTCATCGTCCCTCCTCCCCCGCCCTCCCCCTCCCCCTGCCCCTGCTTCGAGACTGTCACGTCCTCCTCCTCAGCCTCCTCCTCCTCCTCCTCCTCATTGATCCTCCTCCTCCTCGTCCTCCACCTCCTCCTCCTCCTCCTCCTCCTCCTCCTCCTCCTCCTCCTCCTCCCTCCTCCTCCCCCTCCTGCTCCTCCTCCTCCTCTTCCTCTGCTCCCTCCACCTGCCCTCCTCCCCTGGGGCAAGAAGCCACGGCCGCTCCTCCGTGCTGCTGCGCACCCGCGGAGCCACGTCCGTGTTGCCGCGCGCCCGCGGCGCCCCGACTGCAAGGGGAGCCCGCTGCTGCCAGCGCCGAAGGTCCTTCTCGTCCATGGGGAAGGTGGACACTGCGCGCCGCTTTTGAGGGGCATCAATCCACCTCGGCGACGATCCAAAAGCGGGTCTTACGCGAGACGACGCAGCGACCTTACGCGGTGGCTTACGCGGGCCGCCAGCGCGGCACGCTGCATTGAAGACGAGGGCGCGCACGCGCGACCTTACGCGGGCAGCTTACACGCCAATGTCGGCGCAGACGACCCCTTCTGCATCGCCCACCTGGGTTTGACCAGCCGCGGCCCATATTATCCTCCTCTTCCTCCCTCTCCTCCTCCGCGTGCTCGTCGTTGCCCGGTGAGCTCATCGTTCTGCTGTGCAGCGTGTCCTTCGAGACGATCTTGGGCCAACGACAGGGGAGAGTCACGTCTCGCGGTGGCGCAGGTGCACGGGGCAAACGCCTTAAGGCACCTGGTCCAGCTGACCAGGGGGGGCCCAAGGGAGACGAGAGGTACTAAGGCCTGCAGAGGCAGGGCGGGCGGGCTCCCTGCTCCTCCTCATCATCATCCTCCCCCTGCTTCTCCGTCCACTCCCCCTCCGTCCTCCTCCTCCTCCCTGCTCCTCCTTCCCCGTCCCTCGTCCTCCGTCCTGCTCCTCCTCCTCCTCCTTATCCTCCTCCTCCTCCTCCTTATCCTCCTCCTCCTCCTCCTCCTTCTCTTCCTCCTCCTCCTTTCCCCAGCCAACGCATGGTCGAAATCACCTTGTCGCATGCAGCCAAGGTGCTCCAGTTAGCAATATGGTGAGTTGTCACATGGTGGGGTTATATTACCACTTTCGTATGGAACGTTGGGTGCTGCTCCCCTGGTGTTCAGCGCGTCTACGACTCCAAATCTGTCTACCTCATCAAACGTGTCTTAGGCTCCTGCCGTAGGGGAAACCACTCATCTAAGCAACATCTGCCCTTTGTCGATTGCTCCAGCGCGCCGAGAAAATCAATCTGGCGAAGAACCCAACCATATGCAGTTGTGAGTACCGAAGTTGTGGGTATCGTCTTCCGTGGAGCTCCACGAAACGCTGTACGGGGCGGGGAAGCCGCATGTGAACTGCGCCACTGGGACCTTCGGTGGAGCTCCCTATGAGGCCACGAAACGCACCACTGGTTGGAGGAACCGCATGCGAACTGCGCCACTGCGACCTTCGGCGGAGCTCCCTCTGGGGCCACGAAACGCTGGACTGGGCGGGGGAACCGCATGCGAACTGCGCCACTGCGACCTTCGGTGGAGCTCCCTCTGAGGCCACGAAACGCTGTAATGGGCGGGGGCCTGGGGCCACTCAACGCTGCACTTGGTGGGGGAACCGCATGCGAACTGCGCCACTGGGACCTTCGGTGGAGTCCCTCTGGGGCCACGAAACGCCGTGCTGGGTGGGCGAACCACATGGGCCACGAAGCGCTTTACTGGGCGGGGGAACGGTATGAAAACTGCGCCACTGGGACATTCGATGGGGATCACGAAACGCTGCACTGGGCGGGGGGGACACATGCGAACTGCACCACTGGGACCTTAGGTGGAGCTCCCTCTGGGGCCACGAAACGCTGCAATGGATGGGGGAACCGCATGCGAACTGCGCCACTGGAACCGTCGGTTGAGCTTACTATGGGGCCACGAAGCGTTGTACCGGCTGGGAGAGACGTGCGCGGGCTGCTCCACTGGAGCCTTCGGTAGACCACCTATGGGGCCACGCAACGCTGTACTGGGTGGGGTAGACGCGTGCGGGCTGCGCCACTGGGACCTTCGGTGGAGTCCCCTAGTGGGCCACGAAACGCTGCACTGGATGAGGGGAAACGCATGCAAACACCGCCATTGGGGCCGCAGGTGGAGCTTTCTGGGGCCACGAAGCTCTGTACTGTGTGGGGGGAAACGCATGCGAACACCGCCACTGGGGCCTTAGGCGGGGCTTCCTCTGGAGAAGGGACCACAAAACGCTGTGCTCGCTGGGGAAAACGCATGCGAACACCGCCACTGGGACCTTCGGTGGGCCCCGTGTGGGGCCACGAAACGCTGTACTGAGTGGGGGAAACGCATGCGGGTTGCGACTAGGACCTTCGGTAGACCCCCTTTCATGGAGCAACCAAACGCCGTGCTTGGTGGGGGAGGCGCATGCGGGCTGCGCCACTGGGATCTCAAGTGGAGCTCCCGCTGGGGCCACGAAGCGCTGTACTGGATGGGGGAGACGCATCCGAACTTCGCCACTGGTGCCTTAGGTAGAGCTTCAGATTGGGCCACGAAACGCTGTACTGGATGGGGGAAACGCATGCAAACACCGCCACTGGGGCCTTAGCTGGAGCTCCATATGGGGCCACGAAGCGCTCTTCTGGGTGGGGGAGACGCATGCGAACACCGCCTCTGGAGCCTCAGGTGAACCCCGTGTGGGGCCACGACACACTGTACTGGGTTTGGGGGAAGACGCATGCGAACACCGTCACTGGGGCCTTAGGTGGGGCTTCCTATGGGACCACGAAACGCTGTGCTGGGTGGGGGAGACTCCCACCTCCAGACATCATGATGATGATGGGAGGAGGGAGGAGGGGGAGGAGGAGAGGAGTGACGCGGGGTGCTCTCTTCTAAACGAAGACCCAATACCAGAGAATGGCTGGGAACAAGCAAACAAAAACGCTGGCATCGCGTCCTCGGGGGCACCGACCACCAAGAGTGCTGCTGCTCTCTTACAGCATTCCATCATGACTCGAGCTTCAGAAAGCTGTGTGGGACAGAACGCGAACCCTCAAAGGCCGCCGGAGGGGCGCAGCTGATGGAGCTGACCGTCACCCACTTCGTGCGAACTTTCTTTCGTATCGAGCCCCTGGACGCCTTCCGAAGAAACTTCTTGACGTCTTTGATGGGACCGACCTGACCCCGAGATTCTCGTCGACGTCCGTCCCAGGCGCTCGCGCGCTGGGTCCCATCGCCCAGTTGCCACGATGCCCAGGGAGGCCATCCGAAAGGCAAAATCGCGAAACTACCCTTCTGCGATCGGTCCAGATTGGCTCGCGGACTGCGAGCCTGGAGGGGGCGGCGCAAGCTCGGCCGCCGCGCCGGGCCCGGCCGCCATGGCGAGCGCGCCGCCTTCGCAGGCCCGCGGAGGTGCGCCCTCTCTCCAGCCGCGCCCGTGGCGGCTGCCCCCCTCCTGGAGGGGGAAAAAAAGCTAGGGGCAGGACGGCGAGGCGGATCACGACAAGGAGGGAGGACAGGGACGCGGCCAGGTTCACAAGGCCTCGGGAGTACAAGGAGACAAAAGGCAACAGAGAAGAGAGCACAGAGTGATAGAGGTAGAGGGTAGCAGGAACAGAGCAGAGAATATGGAGCAGAGCATACGGCTAGTATGTAGGGTAGACAACAGATGAGTGGAGAGACGAGAGTTTAGAGTAGAGAAGAAAGGGAACTGAATGGAGAAGGGAAGGTGGAGGCGCCCACTGGCCAGGTTCGCAGGGTCACGGCTAAAAGATTAGTGCGAGGCCATCGAACTCTCGCTGGTCGTTCTCGTGGTGGATAACAATGTGTCTGATCGTGCTCGCAATGTTGGAGCTATCGATGGTCGTGTTCAATGAGTGGGAGCTCTTGTCGATCGTTGTACCAGAGCTGCATTTTCACTGTGCCCGAACCCTCGCTGAACATACCAGCAGTGGTGGGACTAGGCTGGCCGCATTCAAAGAGCAAGAATCCTGTATGCTCCTACATGCACTCAGCGCGACACGTGCGGATGATCTGGAAGAACCACACATCGGGATCGTCTGAAGTGTGATGTTAAATTATCCCAAAGCCATATATCACCACCGCCACATATGCGTTCGCCGCAGTACCCTGTTCGAGCACAGAAAGAGGACGACGAAGAGGCCAGAGGAGTCTACGTACGGCAGGTTCGTGTCGTGGTGATCCTGTCGCGGGCTTCTGAGACCGAGTGGATCGTTCAACCTTGACCGATCATATCGCCGGATCGTTCCATACTGGCCGATTCTGGGCCACTGGCGGCGTTCAACCTTCAGGCCCGCAGCGGGAGCGACGCCGCATCGACACGGCACGAGCCTACCGTACTGCATGGAAGTGCGGCCCACCGCTCGGCCACGAAATCCAGCCCACTTCAGGGCCTGACTCGAAAGGGAGGAGACCCCGTCACCTGCCTGCACTCTCCAGCCCTCCCGAATCTGCACACTGCACCATCTCCTCCATGTGCACAACCTTTCAAAATCTCGACTCCCCCATACCCTTTCCAAGCTCGTCTCCCCTCCCCCCATCCCCGTTGCTTGCCACTCTCCCCTCCCCGCGTTGCTACGTCCGCCCAAAACTACCCCGACCACCCTTCCCTATCTCTGCACCCTCCACCCATCATGAGTTACTCAAGATTCAATGTACTCTCCTCTATCCCCACGGTCATGATTAGTGCGTGTGTGTGTCTCGATCAGAGAGAGAGCGTGATCCACAGCCGCTTTACTGTGGAAAATTGCCGACCTTTTCCTCCGGAACCCGGGGGTCCCCCCCCCCTCTCCCCCCCCCCTCCGAAAATCCCCCCCCCTCCCCCTGCAAAACCCCCCCCTCCCCTAACCCCTCCCCCCCCCCCTCGAACTCGAAAACCGGGGGGGGTCACTACCGGTTCGAACCCCCCCCCCCCTCGAAAACCGGAGGGGGGGGTCACTACCGGTTCGAACCACTGAGCTGTCCCACTGTTCCCACCACTGTCCCCACTGTCCCCACCACTGTCCCCACTGTACCTCTGTCCCATTGTCCCACCGCCGTCCTCGCCACCGCCTTCACCACTGTCCCCACCACCACTGTACCCTCCACTGTCCTACTGTTTCCACCACATTCCCACTGTCCCCACACCACTGTCCCCACCACCACCGTCCCCACCACTGTCCCACTGTCCCCACTGTCCCAGCTGTCCCCTCACCACTGTCCCCACCACCACCGTCCCCACCACTGTCCGCACCCCCCCTCGGTTTTCGAGGGGGGGAGGGGGGTTCGAACCGGTAGTGACCCCCCCCGGTTTTCGAGTTCGAGGGGGGGGGGGGGTTCGAACCGGTAGTGACCCCCCCCTTTTCATGATGAACTGGGGGGGGGGGAGGGGTTCGAACCGGTAGTGACCCCCCCAAGTTTTCCGGAGGGGGGGGGGGAGGGGTTCGAACCGGTAGTGACCCCCCCGGTTTTCCGCCAGCAGCGATAGCGATCAGAACATCTTCTGTCCGTCAGAACAAATGCTCCCGCGTAAGCGTTGCCCATATTTTAGGATCGGCGCACTGCCCCCGTCGATCAGAATGGCACTCTCGCCCAAGCGCGGGCCACAGCTCTGGATCCGATTCGTCCATATCCCCCTCCTTGCCCCATCCGCCCTCTACTGATTATCCTGCTCCTTCTGCTCCTGCTGTTCCTCCTGCTCCTCCTCTTGCTCCTGCTCCTCCTCCTCCTCCTCCTCCTCCTGCTCCTCCTCCTCCTCCTCCTCCTCCTCCTCCTCCTCCTCCTCCTCCTCCTCCTCCTCCTCCTCCTCCTCATGCTTCATCATCATCCTCACGTTCCTCCTGTTCATCCTCATGACCGACCGCCTCACAAGGCCCTCCTCTCTGATTCCGCCTCACACGATGGGGTCACTCGGGGAATCAAGGTCCTCTAGGATCCAGGACAGCTGTCGGCGCGTGGAAACACGTCCTGCACCAAGAGAGGTGCCGCGAGATGTGTCGCGAGTGCACCGAGCGTGTCCTCCACCTTCGCCTCTCCTGAGGAGGAGGAGGAGGAGGAGGAGGAGGAGGAGGAGCAGCAGGAGGAGCAGGAGGAGGAGGGAGGGAGGAGGAGGAGGAGGAGGGAGGAAGCTGGAGGAGGTGGAAGGAGGGAGGAGGGGCTCAGGATGGGGGCCCTTAGGGTCTCCCCCCTCTCCCGGCCCCCCGACTCCGCCCTCGCCCGCACCCCCTCTCCCGCTCGGCCCGCCCCTCGAGCTCGCGCGCGCGCACGTGCGGCTGGGCCTGCGGCAGGCTCCGACGGTGGCGCCCGGTACCGGTCGTACTCGGCCTCGGGCGCTCCGCTTGCCCTCCCCCTCGTCCTCCGCCCTCCTGTGCAGCTGACTCCAGAGGCTCTTGCGCAGAGAGGTGCGCCGTCTCCCTGTGCAGCTGACTCCAGGGCGTGTTCCTCCGTCCTGCGTCCTCCCCTCGTCCTCCGTTGCCTCGTCCTCGTCCTCCCTTCCCTCGTCCTCCGTCCTCGGTCGTCCTGGCCAGCTGACTTCAGGGTGTGTTCCTGTGCGGTGAGCTCTTTCTCGCAGCACTCCAAGTAGTGCTAGCCCTCCCGCGTGGTGCAGCTGGCTCCAGAGATCGAGACTTCATCCGAGCGTTAGTCACCCTCGTTATCCTCCCCCTCGCCTCATTTCACGCCGATCCTCCCCTCTGTGCGCTCTGCCTCCTTTTCCCCCTCCTCTCCCATCCGTCCCTTCTTCCCTCTACAGGGAGGAGGTGGAGGTGGAGGGGTCTGCATGGCCGCTCGGAGTCGCGACCCCCTCTGGGCGGAGCGAGGGCTTTGCTCTGCCTGCACTGCCACACGGTATCCCGAGAGCCGCCCTGAATCACCCCTACCCCACTGAGGGGCAACGACATACGGGGACTGGCTCAGTGGGGGGGTGGGGGGGGGCTCAGGATGGGGCTATCAAACCCCTTATCGGCGATCCGTGGGCGATTGGGGGTCGATGTATTCTCCCCTGAGCCTCTCCCCCCTATCGTCCCCTGATCCTCCCTCCTCCTCCTCCTCCTCCTCCTCCTCCTCCTCCTCCTCCTCCTCCTCCTCCTCCTCCTCCTCCTCCTCCTCCTCCTCCTCCTCCTCCTCCTCCCTCTCCTCCACCTCCTCCTCCTCCTCCTCCTCCTCCTCCTCCTCCTCCTCCTCCTCCTCCTCCTCCTCCTCCTTCCTCCTCCTGCTCCTCCTCCTCCTCCCTCCTCCTCCTCCTCCTCCTCCTCCTCCTCCTCCTCCTCCTCCTCCTCCTCCTCCTCCATCGTTGCCCCTGGCCACCACCCACCCGGGCGGGAGGCCACATGGGCCCTGCGCGGGCGAGCTGCACCAGCCGCCCGACCACACGGGGCGAAAGGGCGCCCGTTCGGCGCCGGGGGCCCCGTCGAGAGAGGCGCGCCCTTCAGAGTCCAGGGATGGTGTTCTGACACGATTCAGGGTCGTCAAGACGCAACAGTCAGGTTCACTCGTGGCGCTGAAGTCCCGAGAGTGCCGTCTTGGCACGCCTCGGGGTCTCAAGGCGGTGGTCTCTCAGCGGGGCAATTCCTTCAGTGGAAGTGAGACCCTCTAGCGGCCTATGAAGAGGAAGCATGAGTCTTGGGTTTACTCTGGTACTCCTCATCCTCCTCCTCCTCCTCCTCCTCCTCCTCCTCCTCCTCCTCCTCCTCCTCCTACCTCCCTCCCTCCCTCCCTCCCTCCCTCCCTCCGTTCCTCCCTCGCTCCCTCCCTCCCTTCCTCCCTCGCTCCCTCCCTCCTCCCCCCTGCCTCCTCCCTCCCCCCTCCCTCCTCCATCCTGCCCGCCCTGGGCGGCGGCCTGCGGCGGCGGCGCGCCGAAGCAGCCCACGGGGCCGGGGGGGGGCAGCCGGTGCACGAAGTCCTCTGGCGCGCGGGTGCGCCGCGGCTGCGGCGGGCCCGCGCCCGCCGCTGCTGCGGCGAGTGGTCTACGGTCACCGTGCTACTATGAGTGGGGCCGAGTAAGGAACGGAGAGGCTTTCCTGGCCTCGGCGAGAGGGCCCAGCGAGAGGGCCCTCCGAGAGGCCTCAAGAGGCACACAGGACGTTCCTAGGAAGCCCCTCGGAGGCCCCAAGAAGCCTCCCACATGCCCGCAAGATATGCCAAGAGGCCCCAGAAAGGCATTCCAAGAGACCCTGAGATTCATCCAGGAGGCTCCTGACTCAAGCTATAGCTGCCACCGTCTCAAACACTAACTCCTTGTGGGGGTCGGCGGAAAAGCGTAAGCCACTTGAATAAGGAAGAAGGGGCTTTCCTGGCCTCGGCGAGCACGGGCCGCGAATAGGTTCCCTGACCTAGGATCTGAGGAACGGCCCGACAACGAGAGCCCCTCCTGGGCCCCAAGTGGTACGTGTTCGGGCACCTTGACTGTGCGACAACACCGCGCGGACCGTTCGGCCTTTGGGCGATCTGATGGGCCTGTTTGGAACCACCACCACCATAA